CATTAATCTTATGGATGCTGATCAACTAAGACCGATCATAAGAAGCTCAAAATGTCCTAAATTCTTGTGAGTTGCTCAATATTTTATTCTTCGTACCCTGAAAATTTTACAATCCTATACTCTTTCATATCCTCTGACTTGCTATTGGTCCTTGCCATCTTTAAACCATATATTATCTAACTTGCGTTTTTTTAACTTTTACCATTAGCTATCTTCATAGCAGTGTGATATACTATGTGGACATCTAACCCATAAGACAAACTTTTTAACTATATGATTTGCTTGTAACATGAACCCAGTAGAAACAGTGGGCTTTGTTTAAAGCAGTATTCATGCTTATCATCATCACAAAAGGAGGGAGGGTGGCGTTACTGACTGGCAAAAATGATGGTGTGGAGATAACTTCAGTTCACCCATGTCTGTAGGGTAGAACATTTTGTTCCTTATGTTCCAGTAAAATGTCACGAACCCACGGTATTTATGCTGATTTATTATGCAAAATACCTCGTTGAATCGTGTTTAGAACGCTGAATTAGAGTTTCACTTCCTACCAAGTAATCCTATTACAAGCAAACTAGATAATTCACTAAAAACAAACCCTGCTTAAGACCCTATAAAGTCTACAAAAAAGCTCAAATAACTGCGACAAAAAGGTAGAGAGCCATTTGTGTATCAGAATACTGTTTTCAGCATTATGTCTTATAACTACATATAATCTGATACTTTCAGCTTCTTTCTGAACCATCTCCATTTGTCTTTTTTGTTTCTTAAAAACTTTTTTCAGCTCCCTTGAGATATGCCACCGAAAACAAATATGAAACGAATAACTTCGTCCTACATCATCATCAAAGCCTTAGATATTCCAGAAGGATATAAGGTTGTGGTTTCTAAAAGCCCCTGGTTTCACGTGGATCTATTCTCGACCATCAGTTGCACGTCGGAACGCAACCCTCATGAAGCGCGCTAACTGTGATACTGACTATACGATACTTAATAAACCCATTGACATTCATACCTTATAAAATATCAACCCAGCTAAGTAATTTACTACAGTGAAAATTGCCTCCTTTGTAACACTTTGATCTTGCATGTAAACTGGCATGCCTTATGTGATAAACTGTTATTTGGGAATGAATTTTCTGAGACCAAGCTTAGCGAATGAGAGAATGAATCATGATTGAAGCCACTTTTCTCAGTATAGTAGATTGAACCATATCGAATTCAGGAAAAGTGTCTCTGTTTAGACGCTGTTGTTTCTGACACACCAAGTCAGCGCCTTTGTCCACTTCTGAGAGTTCTGTTAGGTTCCAAGTACGGCTCTCGTCGATGTAGTTTGTATGTGACGTTTGAAATGTTTGTATATACAGTCCTGCCAGAAGTTTAGTAAGATTGCCTTCGTCATTCGTTAGACCATTTTGAACCAACATTTGTTGAAGAGTGGCTATGTGACAGAATAAGCTTTTCGGATTAAGGCAAATTTATCGCCTATTTTTATCTGATACTGAAGTCTATTCTCTCTAATCGCCTATGTATATTGGTTGATTGGTTGTTTAAACTGTTGTTACTAGTTCTTTCGTACACTACCCAGAAATTCCTTTCGAGACTTAGCATTCAAAAAGTGTCATCCTTTATAACTTTACGTTGCTTGAATTTTTCAAGAGACGTTTATGGGAGAGACTGCTTTGAAGCTCATAAGATCGTGTGAAGTACGAGATCCCAAAAAGCGTCCACATCAAGTTGGTTTTAAGCTTCCCAGTCCACCTGCTGTATATTGACTCGTAAAGCTGTTACATTCGACTGTTTCTAGTTACAACCTTTGCTAGGATATCTGGGCTGAGATTTGTCGATAAAATTGAAGGCTATAAAAGCATGATCACTTTTAACCAGGAGAACCAGGATTTAGAGGTTGTAAATTAAGAATGCTTTAACTGTAGAGATCCAGTCTAAGCATGACGACGTCTCACCATTTCTTCAGAGAACTACCGGCTTGACTATTTTGACAGTTTCTCCAGCGAGTTGTTATTTCTACATTTCCGAATACTCCTAGATCTTCTATAAGGTCGAAAAGTCCGGTTTCTATAAAATTGTCACCTACACTGTAAGTATGTTTAGAGAAGCTGACTGTAGGAAGATTGAAATCTCATGGAGTTAGGATATGAGTGTATTTGAGACGAACTGAACAAGAAAATGCATTCAGCATGATTGTCAAACTTCGTATCAACAGTGGACTTCCTGTAGATGACTCCAACTAGACACTTCGAGATGTTAAAAAATCTTACTGACCACCATACAGATTCATCAAGATCGATAAGCTCTTGAGTGCTTGATGTGCTACCAAGCAAGATCATAGGTACAGAGCTGCTCCACCCTCCATCCCTGTTTTTCCGTAGTTGCGAAACAAAAGACACATCGAGTATTGCTAGCTTCTGATTCATTTACGCAACTCATCAGTTATATTCGGTAATTCTCAGTGTTCATAGATTGGCAGTTGATACTTCCGATTTTAGATGCATAAGCCTCTTCATCCTATCTATCTGAATGAGCCCTATGTGAATGGACAGGAAACCTACCTGCACAGGATTTTCCGAGTGGATGGCACCTGTCTCTTCCACGTAATAATAATAATAATTTATTCTCAAATAACAGTTTGATACATGAGGCATGCCAGTTTACAGGCAAGATCAAAGTGTTACAAATGATACAATTTCCACTATAGTAAATTACTCAGCTGGGTTGATAATTTATAAGATATGAATGTAGATGATTTTAGTCAATATCACAGTTAGCGCGCTTCATTAAGGTTGCGTTTCAACGCAGAACCAAAGAACCAAAAGTTATCTGTATAAACCAGACTATGTTCTTCCGTATAACATATAAAGTGTTTTTTAGTTATTAGTATTAGATTATATCAAAACGCACTATCTGTACTATATTTAAACGGTTCTAATTTAAGGATGAGAACAAATCACATCAGAAATACAAAGTTTTCAGACGGTACAGCTTATGATACAAAGTCAAGAGTTTCCCTAACACAACTTTGCGTGTTAACAACCAAAGGAATTGTTAATGAACAAGGGTTCATTCAACATTTGGTCGTCGAGAAGACGACATCCCTGATAGGGTTCACGTGTTGATGGCAGTAGATTAATACATATATATGTCGGACATCAAACAATCCCGAAAGAAGTGATAAGGGCTATACAGGACGTTTGGCTGGCCAGTCTATTTTTGAAATCAGATATGAATGTTCAGATACCGCATGGTATACCATATTTTCAGCATAATCCATGTTACGAACGGACGACAGCTTTCGTCGTCAGACTCAATCTATTCATCATCAAGGCCATTCCATTCTGGAAACGCTTCCAATTAATATGATCTGAACTTTCCAATTAGATCCCATGCACATGGTGTACTCAGGTGTCACAAAAAACCAGCCAATATATGGATAGAATTAGCACACAAAAGACTATTAAACATGAACTTGTAGAATTATGGTCTACTATGATGTTAGTACTGCTCTAATAATAGACCTAATCCTAACTTTGTAGATTTGTCATGATATAACTGCCTAATCTATAAGATCTTACGTGGAAGTCACATCATCGTCTACACCTACTCACTGTATCGTATCAATTACCAATACATGATGTAGAACAAGGTTAGGCTAGAGAAAGAACAATATATTTAATATCAATAGAAGATATAAGGTAACATTCAGCAGAGACCACACCTGCATGGCCGAGCGATGCCACTCGACCAACTCCAGTCCATTCAATTCATTCTTCGCGCCTTCTCCATCGTTAGGTATTTCTCCGTGTTGAATATTGGATATCTATTTTCTGAGTAGTCTTGTGTTCAGCTTTGAAGATAGTGTGGTTATGGTCTAATGCCACTACACACTTCAGAATTTACAAGAGGATTATTTTCATTCTCAATAGCCGAACAGGCGAAACGAAAAGAAGTAATCTGTGGAATATTTTTAATGTTCAACTTATTTTTAAATAAAGATTTTTTAAACATGCGCTTTCTTTTCTACTTACATGGGAGAGTTTAACTAAGTGTTCAGAATGTGTGTTTGATTTTCAGTGCACTTGCAATTAAGTACATATGCCTTAGTAATAATATATAACCTTTTTTCCTTTGCAGATCTTTTTAAGTGACTATAAGACTTGGTAAGTACAATGAAAACGCATAACGATTGATGCCCAAACTTCTTCCATGTATATAATACACTTTTTCTTTCAATAACTTTTTAAACATAAACCATTTTTCACGTGGGTTGCACTTTGGGAGTGGTGTATCGTGAGACTAAAGACTAACATAGTAGACCTTTGTTGTTATGCCAATAATGTAGTGAAAGTAGATAACTCGGCGCATATTTAGGAGAAAAGTAGACAATTCGAGATATATTTAGGCGAAAAATAGACAATTCAGCGACATTTGACAGAGCGAAAAAGGGGAAAATCCGCATTATCCCCCCCCCGACAGGCGAAAAAGCAGACATTTTGGCGCGGCCCTCCATTATTTACCTCTTATTTTCTCACTCATTTTCCATATATTTCTCCTTTCTTCGCCTTCATTTCCCCATTATTGGTTGTTTGGGTTGATAATGTGTATACTGGCTTCTGATCATTTCCTTTGACTTATTTTCACTGCCAACTTAACTTCTAAGACCTAATAAACCATAGTGAGTTTCTTATTATTTGTTTTAAATATTTTTTTGACTACATATAGCGAAAAAAATCAGTTGCTCGATATGACGACAAGTTGTTTTATAAATCAAAATTATTCTTGAGCAACCATATATTACCAAATAATCTGATCTTGAGAGACCATTTTATTTCACGCCAATAGACTTTGGAATGATGAAAGTATTAATTGTTTACCAAATATACGAAGAAATGAATGTGTTGCATTAACATTTTTACGAAACCCGCTGAATTTGGAACTCTCAAGGTTAATGGGTTGATGTTGATAATACTACATTATTAATCTCGATGGAGAGGCAGAGGTCTTTCGAAGTTCTTCATGTTGATGTAATGTATCTCATAGTTTTAAATATTTTATTTCAGGATGAAACTTTTAACCTAGGTATGTTCAAGCAAAGATCAACATACAGAAGTTTATGGTTCGTACACTTTCTTATTACCTTTTGGTGCTTGGAAGTTTGTGTTTGAGTCCTTTTGTTTCTATTGCAGATTCTTTTGCCGACCTTTATTTTATCCCTTGCCCAAGTCACCATCTTCTGGATAGTTATTTGTTAGACGTTAATGCAGCCCAACAGCTTAGCCTCGTTTAAAATCGTTGAAGAAGTCCATACTGTCTTTTAAATCGCCTGAACATTTCTAAAAACTATTGTCTATTTACACCATGGAATTCAACTATTAGAAAAAGGTTACGTAATGTCGATGACTTTTTTCCTACTCGTAAAATGTTGACAATGTGAGACCCGGCAACACACCGTTTCATGTCAAATGTGTTCACAGTGAATTCAGAAAACCTTATAATTGTAGTTCCGTTTACGTGAAAATTCTGTCGACTTTAAGTACCAAATATTCACAATGTGTTTAATTTTCTCCGATGATCAATAAATCAGCTCAGTTTTATAAGACCAATTTATTGACGGCACTGTTACTGTTTTTTCCCCATCAGATTTTTACAGGTGATATAGTGTGAAGGGTTACCACAGTCTTGGGGTCCTTTTATATCCAAGTGTGCAGTTTCGAACCAAGCAGATTTCGTCACATCCAGCATCCAAGTAAAAGAAGAACGCTTCATTAGCTTTAAATACTGTGAAAAATTAGGAATGTGGTTGTGTGCACTTTCAAAAATTCGTTTAGTGTTTATTTGTATAATAACTGTTGCACAAATAATTTGTTTACAGTACATGAATATTTTTTAGGTTTTGATAAGTAGTAATGATCAATGACTTCCCGACATGTTAGCTCCTATTTATGTTGATATCTCAAAGGGAGTTTATCTACGCAAACATATTTTTTGACTGTTGCTAATGAATTCGACACCCACAATCACTGTACTAATCTTTTATGCCTTCCTGGAGTCCTTTATATATACCCCAAGAAATGAATGTCTCTTATTCATCTGGTCCTCGAAATTCCAAGCGTTGGGCCTTCAGTCCTGCTCGTAAATGCTTAACCTCTGGACCACTGAATTGAAATCCAACGGTGTTAATGTATAATGTCAATCAATCTACGATACGGCGCAACCATCTTTGATTATCTGATGGGTAACGGCTACACACTCAACTCGGATGAACTCCACTGGTCAAGGTTTCTCACTAGAACTTCGAGAATTTCCTCTCGAAGCTAGCCACTAGTGAGCACATGATAATTGTCAATATAGGGTTGTAGAAATTATTGACTTTCATTGTTCGGTTCACGATCCCAATGAAAATTAACAATCTTAGCAACCATATACTGATGATTCATGAAAGTTTTAAACCCCAGGTAGACACGGCAAACGTTGTGGATAACTGTACTTTGAACTGTGGTTCGTCCGAATTCCCTGAAGTGTGAAATCGGTATCTGCCTACTGTCCTGAGTTACTAAAGTTGTTTTGCGTGTCTTCTTTCAAGACCATTTAGAATCTTCTTTAAAATCATAATAAAAAACAAACCTTGTCCGAAAATAAGGTTACACCAGTTAGCATTTCTGGGGGATCAGTTTTCGAACCCCACAATCAGTATGGACTGTGTTTAACGTACTGTAAATGCAGGAGTGAAATTGGAAATTCCTATATATCAAGTAATTCGCGAACATCCTTTGATTCTCAATATTAGGCAGCATGTGATGTGAAGCAATAAAGTAACGGTATGATCTATCATTCAACCTAAAAGCCATGAAAATAAGTTGACGAGAATAAGAAAAATGATACCAAGTGATGGTATCAGAAACAATAGTACCAGAATTGTAAAAAGGTTAACGGGGACGTAGTCAGACTTCCAGCAGGTACCTCAAAAGGGACGATACTTGTGTATTAATTTTTTTTCCAAAAACGGCTGATATAGATAGATCTTGTTAATATCTGTTGTGCTGATTTCAGATGTTACCAGATCAAGTTGCTGTCTTGATCCTCACAGTTGGTACTTGCTAGAAATGGATGATTATCGAAACATTGTTTCTGAAATGTAAAGCTATAGCCTAATTGTCAAAGTACTCGGCTTAAAACCACTAAGTTGTAAGTTTGAACCCCACATGAACTAACACGATTTTCGGCAGCCAGGTTGTATTTTTGTTCGATAACTAATTTATGTCCCAAATACAGATATCTGTACTTGGTAAATAAGTTTCACTTCTCAGTGGTTCCTAGAACGTCAAAATACTTTTATAAGTTTTCCTATGACTTGATCTGTTTCATCGCTTATCAGATCCTCCTCCTAACTACAGGCAAAGGTTTGACATCTTTTGGTAGTTCCTCATAGATCATATCCTCAGTCAGGGGGATAGTAATTGACAGACAAGCAACAACTCGTAATATCAATCTTTCTGAGTTCTCACAGTTTCATTCATTTAGATAGTGTGAATGCATGTACTGCTTTCAACTTAATCCTATACTTTCACGCGTGAAACCACGAAAATTCGCTGTTGAATCTCTAGATACCTACCAGGTACAGTGGCATGCTTCCACACGTTGGTGAAATAAAGTCAAGTAATGACACGAGTTCTAGGTATAGAATTCAGAAAGACAATTTTATTTAGTAGAATTTTAAATTTACTGATTAATGATATCTGTTATCCCATATTTCTAGCATTAAGGTTTCCGACAAGTAGTTTGACTTACTGTGTCATGACACTACGTTTGGTACTACGTAATCTCAGTTTGTTAACAAGTCTCATATCCGAATGAAGCTAGTGGGGGGTTGGTAAGGTGTCTATGATAAGATAAAGGGAATTAATGTTGAACCGGATAAGCCTAAGACCTGCATATGGTTTGTGGAGGATGGGCACTTTATCCCTCCCTAAACAGTAGAGGGGCTATGGCTTGGTGCCCATCACTAGTTACTCATTGTCCATTTAAACACCATTCTGACGGTAGTTCTTTATACTATTAATCATTGGTTACTGGTGGAATCCCTATTGCGTAAACATGAAAGTATTAATTCACCAGTAAATTCTCACTAGAAATATGTACATCGTTTGTTATATTTTAGAGAATGATAGTCTTGTCGAAAGTGTCTACTTGGTTTCTGAGCAAGCTGTTTCTGATGAATCACCTTCTTACACTGAGGTTTCGGAGTCTGACAAGTCAGAAAATTCTCTATCCACATCGACGTTCGATTTCGTCAAACTGGACTGCGACCAAAACCATGCGTAAGTCACATTTCCCCACTGTTTATAAACAGTATTATGATTAGCGTGCTTGTGCTTGAGGTGTCGATTTCAAAGTTTTCCTTGACTTTATTTTATGTAGTCACTGAACATGTAGACTTCAATTTGTGGAAGGAATCCAATAATAACCTATAATCTACTTTATCTATTTAAATGGATAGGGTTAATTTGAGTTACGGATCTTGTCGTGTATAAAAGAAATACTTGGGTTACTTTGAAGACAGCTTATGAGAGCATGAACTATAATCACTCTTTGTTAAGTGTTGAATTTGTTCATAAATCTTGGATACTTTACGCTAGTCAATAGGAAATAGGTGGTTCCCATTCAGTTTAGACCATGTACATGACAGAGCTACTAAATCCTGTGTTGAATAACCTAACTATTTATTTGATTTGTTTGCAGAGTATATTTTGTAAAACTTTAGGTTACAAATCCCAGTGATGATTTGGATGAAACAACCTCGTTCATTTGATAACTAAGTCATAATTTCCCTTCATTTTCAAAGTTATTTCAAAGACAGTGTCATTTAAAGTAACTTCGGATGGTTAAGAGATCAGGATGATCAAACTAAAACTTGCTGAGAAGTACTAAGACATTTAACAACTGAAACGAATCATTCTTTGGACTGTAGACTATTAGAAATGTTTTCTAAAATTCTCTTATTGTCTCATTCGAAAACCATATCTTTCATTTCTTTTTGTGAATGATATTAAAATGTATTGTGGCCTCAGTAAATGTGTGGTTATTCTGCACTTTTCCTTAACTGAATTAAGTTCAGTAATGTATCTGTATTTTTACGTAAACTGGTTCAAACATTATAGAAATCGTTGTGTTTATAAATATCGTTGATTGAGTGCAATTAACCAAATTCGAAGTTCAAAATGATTTTCTGTAGAAACCAAAATACTCATAATGTTGCTTACATTTAGTAATTAATTCATGTTTATGTGGCTGATATCTATTATTTAATTAGGTAAAATGAAATGTCATAAGCAAATACTATAAAACCTTTAATGTCGCCTTTACTTTGAAACCAATTTGCAGTGCCATTACACAACCCTCCCCATCTTGTAACTTGGACCAGTTACATTGTCTAAGCATACCTGATGAGAAAGAGCCAACTATTGTATATGAACAATCATGTATCCAATCGTCAACGTACTCTGAAATAAATGCCTCTGATCGGATACATTTTTACTGTAAGTAACTGTTTGACTATTCATGAAATAACAACAGTGAAAACTTACAAATAGAAAAATGTGACAGTTATTTTAACTACTTAGTTTACCTTCAGTACTTTGTGGCGATCAATATAGTTTAAAGATATTTTTCATCTTGAACTGAAAATAGCCACTGCAGACTATGTAGCGCTGAACAGCTTTTGCATACTAGTTGGAAAGTTATTCCTGATATTAATTTCTCATCTTTCAAAGCAGACTTAGCTACTATCAAGTAAATTCAGTTTCGTGAACAAAAGTGACTACTATTTTTTGACCATATTTCATGAACTTTAAAAGCTGGTTTACAAAGAAAAATATCTCGTTATTCTTGCGATTTTCTTCATATCATCCGCTGCCGTTTTAATCTTACAAATATAACCAAACAATTCAACGACCATTTCGTCTTACAAATGCTTTTATAGCACGTGATGTTTTGTAATTTATTCTGTTCTGTGCCTCGTACTTAGTTTGACGTATATTGATCAGTTTACCTTTGGATACTAACTGTTTCGCCTATCCTAACTCTAAAGAAAACAAAAAACTTACGGTCCTATGGCACAAATTTATGCACTTGATAATACACTATGCTTTTCGCGTCGCTGGTATCATTTGACTGTTAGGTCTGTAGTTATTTTCACCTGGAATTCCTTCTTGGTTTTCCAACGTATATATATATATATATATATATATATATATATATATATATATATATATATATTTGCAGGTCGAAGTCATATAACTATGAGATTATGGTTTTATTCAATGTTTTAAAATTTTCATTAATGTCTTTCATTTAGTAAAATTACTACACTTAACATTTTCCTACCTTTTCCTGCCTTTTAGTCCGTGATTTTCTTTTGGGAGGCATAATTTTCAGTTTACTTTTAGGTAAGTCACTTGTGTGGTAGAAACGAACTGTTTTTTTGTCGAATGCTTTTTGTAAGTACATCTGTATGTATACGAAAATAATTAGAGTGGCTATGACTTTCATCTCTCAATTTTATTATCAGATAAACCAATGGAAGTTAACATCAGTAAATACGGTCAACCCACTGATTACTGTTTTTACTTTCCGACTTGTTGGATAGTTTTACTACGCCATATTATTAAAACAGTGCTTGGTTGTCTTTTTCTCCGATTAGAAGTTAATTCGTTGTAATCGTCTTTAAATATATCAATGTGCTGTTTTTGTCTTTCAGAGTTGTTCTATGATGTGGAAATGACTTACCAATTCAATCAATGCCACTTACATTGAATTATGTTTTTTAACTGCAGATTTAATATCTACAAGATAGATAAATTTTTCTACAAATGGTATCTACTCGCCTAGCAATCTATCAATATAAAAAACATTACTCCATTGTAATAATAATTTTATGTAAATCAGTTTACTCATTGGTGCTGATCTCAATGACGAGTAAAAAAAATCGGAAAAGCAGATTGGTTCAAAAATTCCTTGATGACTAGAGTCAACAGTGCACAAGCTAATAAAAAACTAAAAATACAGTTTTTGAATAGGTGATACTCGACCATTATGGACATTTACTAAGGTAAATGTTTCGTTGACGGCAATATTTTTTTCAAAAGGTAACTGATAAAACTAGACCAATCAACAATAGAATATCAAAAGACGATTCAGTTGATCTTCGTCTGTCTATCATTTCGTTAGACTTTGAATAAAACAATAACCCTTGAAATTTAACTACTGTTGTAAAAAGCTGTTTTCTTGATATCATTCATGTATACAGAGATAAATTGATCTAGAACTTCAACCTACATTCATCAAACCTTCTTATCGTTATGACATACGGCTCACTATTTTTCTTTCTAACAAAAAATAAACAGCAATATTATTTTGATTGTAATGAATTCAAATCAAAATATAAGTTGATTACCACTAGTCGCATATTGAAGTATAATTATGTAATATACAGTTGTATTTTGACTGATAACCGATTAAATTCCTCACTAATAAAGTCTTTTGTTTCTTTTTCGCAAATATCATATATATATATATATATATATATATATATATATATATATATATATATATATATATATATATATATATATATATATCAGGTCACATGCTGTATTCTGAACAATGTTATAAAAGTGAGCAAAAATTCTGTTTACTTTTCTTTGTGTATGACATTTTCTACCAGCTTTTGCATTTTTACTTATTTTACTCTTAAATTGTTTATAAATGATTATATATATACTTCATACGAAAACAGCAGTAGTAGTGTACCAAACGATTAAAAAATTACCCTTTTACGTTTTATCACTATAGGTTAAGAAAAAAATTACAATAGTTATCTGTCAATTGCACAAGGAAAGTAAAACATAACCAAATGGACAAATTCATACGTCTACATATTCTTTTCTTGCTGTTATATTCCAATATAAAGACTTATTAAGTTCATATAAAATAACAATTAAGTTATTCTAAATCTAAACGACTATAAGTTTCTAACTGTTCTTCAATTTTAACACTATGAATTACACCATTTTCTTATTGAGTTGTTGATTTATCAGTAAATTATTTGGTGGTAGTATTTTCAATAGCCGTGAGGTTAATCAACTGTTTTTAATGAAATAAAATAAAGCAAGCTAAATTTATTCCTTTAGATTAGCTTGAACTAAATAAGTAGTTCACTTAACACACTGTCCGCCCCCAAATGCCCTGATATGGCCGAGAGCGGGGTGGGTCTGCCGTCCCTCTCGAAATACTCTCACACGGCTACGCATATACAGCCTCTGCCAGGGAAGTCCTACTCACTGCCTTCTCGTGGCATTACTGTTGTTTACGAAAATGAGAGGACGAAAAGCGAATGTCCGGCGCTTTAACCGGATCCCAAACCAATGGTGCACATGGGCTCCAGGATCCTGGGGGAACAAATGGCGTATGGACCAATTTCCGGTCACCGGCTACCATGGGACTGCATCTCCTTACGATGCTCCACTGCCTTGTGGGTTAGGCCTTTAGGTCAAAGGCTCGGAGTGTGGTTCCCTAAGATAACCACCTGCTTCAATCTGGGCACCCGGGCAGTATCACAGCTCTCACGCAAATGATAAACTCTCTATATCTATGGAAACTACTTTTCTCGCTTCGAATAACAATCAAATTGCTATCATTACCATTATTGTTATTATTACTATTATTATTATTATTATTGTTATTATTATTATTATTATTATTATTATTATTATTATTATTATTATTATTATTATTTACTACGACATTATTCACCCTCTTTTATTCCTACTCTGTCTATACTTATCTTTTCACCTTATACAGCAGCTCGTCTTTGGCGGAAATTCGACTCTATCTAAACGTTCTCGAGTCACTGTCCGGTTGAAAATTGTATGTTACCACCGAATATGAGTACTGAAGCAGTTTTTCTGAAACCACGTGCACCACTCAAACTGGCTGCCTTCAACGTTCGCACACTTATGCAGGTTGGACAACAGATACGGCTGGCTATGTCTTTAGAAAGTCTTAATATCGATGTTTGCTGTCTATCCGAGACCCGTATTCAAGACTCTGGTGAAGTACTACAAATTCGCTCTCCATCTGTCGCTTCAAAAAGCTTGTTTTACGTGCGCTTATCCGGGGACCCTGTGGCATCTTCGTCTGATCTTGCTGGCGTTGGTGTCGCACTAAGCGCTAGGGCTGAGGCAGCACTAATCGATTGGATCCCCATTAACAGTCGGTTATGTGCTGTTAGATTAGAAAGTTCCATCAAAATGAGAAGAAATCGGCGTGAGAAACGATGTCTTTTCGTCATCTCCGCCCATGCTCCGACAGATTGCAGCCCGGATGCAATCAAGGATGAGTTTTATCACCAGTTATCTGTTCTTCTTCAGAAAGTGCGTTCGACAGATATTGTAGTACTAGCCGGAGACTTGGATGCTCAGGTCGGGCGTCTAGGCACAGAAGAGAGTCGTTTAGGTGGCCGATGGGACTTGTTGGTCGCAGGACAGATAACGGGGACCGTCTACTGCAACTTTGCACAGACCACAACCTGTTTCTGGCCAGCACTAACTTTCAGCATAGTCATCGCCAATGTGCCACCTGGCGTCCTCCCTCTTCATCGCAAGCCTGGACTCATATTGATCACATCGCGATCAGCTACCGCTGGCGTGGTTGTGTACAAGACTGCCGCTCCTTTTGGAGTACCTATCTGGACTCTGACCATGCCTTGGTCTGCGCCAATCTCACCTTACTTTTCGGTGGACAACGAAGTGACCGCCATCAACGGATTGATGTTAGCAAGCTGGTTGCAACTTCTGTTGCAAGTAAGTATCGAACCGAGCTAGCCTCTAGGCTAGCTACCATTCCACCGAAAAGTATAGATGAGCATTGGTTGCAATTGCATGACGCCATGAAAATGGCGGGTACAGTCAGTTGTGGGTTCGCGAAACGCCCCACTTATAAGCATTGGGTTTCTTCAGGCTCCTTACAACTCATTGAAGCCCGTCGGTCTACTCCGGGTAACCGTGAGTTTGACCACAAACGAAGGATAATACGTAATGAAATTGGGCAAAGCTTGCGTAAGGACCGAGAAGCCTGGTGGTCGATGCATGCTAATGGGCTGGAAGCAGCAGCTGCATCTGGCAACTACCGGAAGCTCTTCCAACTCATCCGAGCCACTGGCAGCAAGAAGTCTAGTGTGAGCGAAACAATCTGCGAGGATGACGAGATGCCAATCACTAACATCCCTCGAGGTCTTGGACGATGGGCAGAATTTTTCGAAGGGCAGTTCAACTGGCCTGCTGCTCCGGCAACATCGGTCAGACTGTCCTGCCCTCCATGACCGGTGACGACTGATCTACCAAACGAGGAGGAAGTCCGCAAGGAACTCCAACTCTTGAAGCGTTACAAATCACCTGGCCCAGATGACTTACCTCCGGCTCTTTTTAAAGATGGTGGTGACTTTTTGACTAAGGAATTGACGACGTTGTTTACAAAGGTTTGGGAGCTAGAAAGTGTACCAACATCATGGAATGAGTCGATAGTTGTCCCTATCTTTAAAAAGGGTTCACGTCGTTCCTGTAACAACTATCGGGGGATAAGTCTACTTCCGATTGCGTCCAAGCTATTGGCTTCCGTCATACTTCGTAGGTTGTTCAAAACCCGAGAAAGATTGACTCGCGAGGAGCAGGCTGGTTTTCGTTCTGGTCGAGGATGTATTGATCATATCTTCACCCTCCGCCAAATGTTAGAACACCGCCAAACTTTTCAAAGGCCAACAATCGTAGTTTTTCTTGACATCAGGGTTGCCTTCGACTCGTTGGACAGGACTGCTCTTTGGGATTGTCTGTTGAAGAAGGGTGTGTCTGAGAAGTTTATTAACATCCTAAAAGCCCTATATACAAACACCTCAGGCAGAGTGAGGGCATACAGCCACCTTTCCCATCGTTCCATTCGAGCAGTGGGGTTAGACAGGGTTGCCTAATCTCACCATTCCTCTTCAACTTTGCCATCGATGACATTCTGGAAACAGCTCTGATGGATGTAAGTAATGGCGGTGTGGATCTGTTGCCTGGAGAAAGACTTCTCGACCTTGAGTATGCGGATGATATTATCTTACTGTGCGATAATGCCCAAGGCATGCAATCCGCACTTAATCAGTTGGCAATCAGTGTCCGTAGGTATAGTATGTGCTTTACACCTTCGAAGTGCAAAGTACTTCTGCAAGACGCAGGATTCTAATCCTGTACTCAACCTGGGTAGTGAGCAGATAGAAGTAGCCAGAAGTTCGTGTATCTAGGTAGCTGCATAAGTGCTGGTGGGGGTATGAGTGATGAGATCAATGCACGTATAGTGAAAGCCAGAGCGGCTCATGCCATTCTGGGCCATCTTTGGCGCCTTCGTGATATCAGTCTGACTGTAAAAGGTCGGATCTACAACGTGTCAGTGAGAGCAGTTTTACCCTATGCTTGAGGATGTTAGACGACTCACTGTGTTTGATCATCGTTGTCTCCGAAGGATTGCTGACATCCAGTGGCAAGACCATGTTAGTAATGCAGAGGTTCGGCATCGTGTGTTCGGGCACAGAGACGATAATGCAATTGGTGTCACCATCTTGAAACACCGACTTCGGTGGATTGGACATGCTCTACGAATGTCGTCCCAAAGAATTCCACGTCGTGCATTATTTGCCGACGCTGGGAGTGGTTGGAAAAGGCGGAGAGGTGGTCAGTGTATGACATGGTGTCGTGGAATAAAAGAAAGCTGCAAGGGGCTGGCTTCTGTTGGTCCTTCACGACTCCTCGGCTGGGGTCCTATAGATAGTGCAACACAGTGGCTAGAGACGTTGTCAGATATGACTCAGAATAAAAGCCAGTGGCGATCCTGCTGTAACCTTCTTTTACTTTCTTCATAAAAAGTGGTTGTGTCTTCCTTAACTGAAAGATTTCTGATTGTAGCTTTCCGTTCCCCCATTTTTACCACTATTATTATTACACCACCTTACATCAATCTCTTCGTTGTGATTCTCTCTTTTTTTCCTTCCTTCTAAGTTCTCATTGTTTTGTGCGGCACATATATATTTGGCGCATTCTTGTACCAATATTTATGTGTTCAAATAAATAAATAACACACTGTCCACGATCATCGGTACTAAAACATCTATTTCATTTACTTGTCCGTATTAACCTTAGTTTTTGGATAATTATATAGAAATATTAAAAGAACAGTTATAATAATGGTAGTCTTATATTTAACAGTACAGAACTGATAGAAATTAATCACATATTACAGTGCTTCTGAATAATACTATTACTACTACGAATCTATTTCTTTAAGTCAATAATGTTTTCTGCTATTTATTCAACGGCTCAGTGATCAGTTCATATCACGATAGTAATAATACACCCTATGTGTTTTGAAATACTTTCATGCAAAATCAACAGGCTGTGCTAACCTTTCAATGACTCATTTAACTAGTTCATTCACTTAATATTTGTCAAAATATTCCAATAATACAGTTATCATTCAAGGTAATAAAAAAGATAGTAATTATAGCCTTCTATTTTGGTTATTGACGAGTAGTGTAGTTTACATTTATCCTCTTATTACAGAAACTTGGTGATAGTTCAAAGTTATTCATAACTGCATAGATAAATCAATTGTCTAGTTCTATTTTAATCTTGCTTTTCATGGATTTATTTCATTTTTTCACTCGTACTTTTTTCAGTCATATTAACATCTTTCTATTTTTGTCGATTTTTCTCCATTTCAAAGTCAGTTAATTTTAACCAAGGCACTTTTGTTTCATGATTTGTATGTTGTGTAGCCTAGTGTTTGTATCACTTCAACACATTTAATTTATCTCATTTAACGGCCAACGATTTAATCATTTCCCCCTTGATATTGTTGTTTTCTTTCAGATAGAATTGCTGGTTGTGAAATTGAACGTGACAAATTATCAACAAGTAAGTTAATATAAGTTTCATTTGTTTTGTTACATTTGCCATTAGTTTTTGCTTATTTTATCTTAATTAAAAGACGCTTCTAATCCAGTAAACAGTCGATTACACAGCAAATATTCGTTGTGTTCTACCGTACAGATTCAAGGTATTATCTTTAAAAATAAGGGATATATATAAGTTGTAGGTATTTGATTATAAAGCATTGCTTGTATGTGACTAAATTACTGAGTAATCAATGCCAAAGTTAAGAACCGTTTTTAAAAACAAAGGTACTTTAATCACCGGTTTCCTTCTGGGCTTCAGAAGTTAAACTGTCGGTCATGGCCAACGTAGATCGCGGAATAAATGTGTTTTGACTGACGTTAGCATACCACATTAGTACGGTAAGATCAAAGTAACAAGATAAGAAGTGGAGAAATTTAATTAATAAGGTAGAAACGATGATGTGAAAGAATAAGCATTGAGAATATGATCCTGAAAAATGGTAAAAACGGATGTTTGAAAGAACACTCGAATTTAAGGTAAAGAGTGTATGTATCTGCGTCATTATGAATGATTCTCATCCAAACTGTGCAACTATTGATCACAATTATCGTGCAGACCCCATTCACGTAGTCTGCATCTACCAACATGGCTCAGGCCAACCGTCATAGGCCTCACGAGCTGATGCCACGTTTCGGTTTGGCCGCTCCAAACTTTCTTCCGACCTACTTCCACAGCAACTAATATCGCACACGTAACACATGTCCAAAACACCTCAGTTGATGGAGATTGACAACCTCACCAACAGATATGCCATCTTTCCCTGGTACCTTATTTCTAACTTCAACGTCGCTCAGTTGGTTGTCCAACGTTAGATGGGCACTGCTTCGAAAATTTTAACACCTAGCATTTGATCGTATTGAAACGTAAGCTTCCTTCAACCACTCATTCTATATTCTTGTTACATTTTTATTTAGCATATATATGTGAGAATTATATGATATCCTGTTTATGAATGGTAGCAGTCATTTAGCTTAATCTAATAATCATGATGTTCTAGAATGCTAAGTCCAACCCAAATGAGGGTATGCACACAAAGATATATATCTAACTTTTTTCTTACAAGATTTTATACTTTTATTAGGGATGTTCAGAACCTACTATTTTATAACTTATCTTAAATGGTTTCGAGTTACTGTTCTACCTTCAAATGTTCTCATCCATATATATATATATATATATATATATAGGATAAAGCAAATTTATTTATTTTAAATAGGCTAATAATTTCGTCCAAAATATACCCAAATGAAACAAATCATGATTGTATTCGACTATATATTACTTAATGCAAGCTATGTTTTTCCTTCTGGAAAGAATCGATTACATAAACAGATAACCTCATCTTATTAAATATCTACACACGTGAACTTGAATTAATTACCAGATGTGCCTTAATTTAAAGACGAGTAATTTTACCGGTATATATTCTCGACCTTTCAAAGAAATTGTCTTTTATTATCACTGCCTTTCTTTTTTCGATCACTTTTGAATCTTATTTTACGCCCCATTTTCTAGACGTTTCTTTTCTATCGACTGAAATTTTACAAAAAGATACAGCATATCGACATCTGGAAATTAAACATAAACACCTTAAAAATGTAACACATCAATTGCATTCAGGTAAGAAGTTTTGTTCTTTTATCATTTATATTGTGTTTGTCTGTTACTAAGAGGAAAATATCAATTTTTCTGTATCTGCTTAAACTGAACCTGGTGTTTTCTTCTGATGATAAATGCTAGTAAGAGAATAGAGATCATCTAGTTACTTTATACATCCGAGAATTTTTATCATATTCCATGGATTGTATGTATACAGTAATAATCAGTTCAAGTTAGTTATGGGGAATTAATTATTTAAAAACTAATGTCCATTAAAAATTGATTACTGCTAAAACTGCAGAGCAGGTAATGTCGAACTATATAAATAAGATATAAGTAACTGTTAGTTTATTATCACAGGTGTAATAGATAAATAGTTGTAAATTTCTAGAAAGGGACTTTCTTCATTCTTCAAGCTGTTGCTGTATGAATCATGATAAGTGTTTTAGTAATTCACAATTTGACTAGTAATAAAACAACAAAATAGGACTTAATTATCGAATACTACTCTGGTTCCCTCAATATTATCCGAACCACAGTATATTATCTACTTGTCAACCTTAATAGTGTCATTAATGTCTAGATAAAAAATGTACATGAACAGTGAGAAACCACGTATGGTTGTGCTGACTAACCAGATCGAAGCAATCTTAAAATTGAACAACTCTCTTACTTGTTTAAAGCCAGTCTTATCATTTATATACAGAGATTGATTTGTTTCATAGAGCTAAATCGTCCAAATCACTTCATTTGTCCTTAACTACATAAATGGACTGCTAATACAACTATCAAATCTATTGTATTTATATTTCTCTCTATTTAGTTTATTTCATAGTTCAACTTTAAAATTTATTCGATGATCACATTTTTAGCAATGATTGTTAAATTATATAATGCACTTTAAGTGTATAGCTTGTAGGACTGCATTTGCTAATTTGTTTATGTACACTGGTATTGTATTCTCTGTATAATGATCTTCAGCTCATGAAGTGTGTTCAAATTAACTCTTTATGTAACGAAAGAAATACAGAAGTTTATAATAAAAATTATATAAAAACTTATAACCCCCTCTGAATTGATCCATCAACCCCAATCGTTCTAACATGAATCAGTCATCATATTTAGACTATGCTCATACCGAGCATACTAGCTAGATTTTTATAAGTCTACGATTCTAATATCTGGTTACGGACCAACAAAGTTAGTTACATTTTAGAAAACTCCTACTCACCATTTACAATTTGCTTTAGTTAGTTTATTTATTTTTATCCATGCAACTGCATGGTTAATGAGCCGCTCGTCAGGTTAATTTTCATTTCTTCCAAAACTGAGTAGAAAAAAGAGATATAAGGAATGATATGCGAACAATAACAAATGAAAGAGAATTTAATACAAAATAATCAGCCTTTACAAGGTGTATACGAAAGAAAATCACAACCAAACTTATATCAGTTTTGTTCATATCTATTAATAGCTTTGTGTTTGGAAGCAATTTGTTAGGAGTCGAATACTTAATTTCCATATCTGTTTACATTCATGTCCAAACCACTCCAGCAATATTCAAGTAGATTATGCTTCCTCAAAGATTCGAACTTGAATCACTCAGTGTTTCTTCCAGGAAAATCTTTAGTTTGTTTATTTGCTTATAACCTCATTTCCATTCATGGTGTATATGTGTTATTGTTTAAAAAAGTTTTATACAAATCAAAGATGCATAGCTTTTGTTCACAATTCCAGATATATCTATACTAACAGCTGAATTACGTGACAAAGCCCTAGCTTACAATGAATTAAAATCAGACTACAAATATGTCAGTGATAAAATGAAAGAGTTAACCAATGGTAAATTAACTTTATTTTAATTTCCTTTATATAATTCCATTATTTTTTGATACCTTATTATTCTTTGCGTTATACAAAGTATTGAAAATGCCACAAAATAACTAACTATATATATCTTAACAGTAGACCAGTGATTCAGTGAGTTATATAAGCAGACTGTTCATGTACATGTTTAATCTAGCCCCCGAATTCCCTGGTACGGCCGAGGGTGGGGAGAGTCAGCTCTCTTTCTCCAAATGCTCTCACATGCCCACGCTTATACAGCCACTGTCCGGCTAGTTCTACTCACCGCCTTCTTGCGGCAGGGGTGTTGTTCACGAAATTGAGGGGACGAAAAGCGGATGTCTGGCGCTTTAACCGGGCTGGTGCACATGGACAGTCTACCTAGGGAAGTTGGAAAACCCTGATTACAAACCATTGACGCACATGATGTTACGTCCAAAGTTTTGCTCGTTCCCGTTATTGAAGTACGGTATAGCGATCTATTTGCAACTTACGAACCCAAATTAACAACAGAACCAAACTCCAATTCAGGTACCAAAGTTTATTCGCAATTTACAAATAGTCGACCCAAAAGTCGTTCTCCAATTTTGTACGTTCCCCGAGCAAAAACCCCCAAATACCAAACCAAAGACAAAAGAAACCAAAGTGTCCGAAAATAATGATATAAATAAACAAGTTCAGAAGTTGAGTAAAGCAAATACATCCGAAAACAGTGAAATTAATAATATTTAATATAAAGGTTTCAATCAGCCAAATGTCTTCAGTTCTCCCGTAACACATGGGCTCCAGAATCCTGAAGGAAAAATGGCGTATGAACCAATCGTTGGTGATAGGCTACCATGGGACCGCATCTCCTGACGTCGCTCCACTGCCTTGTGGATCAGACCTTTAGATCGAAGGCTCGGGGTGTGGCCCCCTATGCAAACCATCTGCTTCGGTCTGTGCACCTGTGCAGTATCCTAGCCCTCACACAAATCGAATGATTTATGTGGCGCATATGTATTCAATGCCCCTTTGTACTAATATTTATGTGTTCAAATAAATAAATAAGCAGTCAACCTTAAGCCAATGTTTCATAGCTCACCAACCACCTTAACTGTTTTATTCTGGCCTCACACTTATATTTAGTCCTTAAGTCACGATAAAACAGACTATTGGTCATAGTTTAATGTTAAAGAAGGTGTAGAATTTATTAAGCCTTTTTTCGAATTTGATATTTATCGAACATATTTCTAATAAATAATTGCTTGCCACTTAATCGTTTTCTAGGACTTTTGATGTATCTGAAAATCTATTGATCCTGAGATAAAATTGTAGGTATTTCATCGAAGACGTAAACAAATAAATCCATATTTAAATAAGTAAGATAGATTGGTTCAGCGAAGAGTTCTCTTTTCGGCGAATTCATTTTCAAAGCTGTACAATCGCAAATATATATACTTATTTTTACAGGGTGATAATAATACTGATAATAAACTTCTGTTATACATGGTGAGAGTGAGGTTAAATAAATACCTTTGTTTATTTAACCTCACTCTCACCATGTATAACAGAAGTTTATTATCAGTATTATTATCACCCTGTAAAAATAAGTATATATATTTGCGATTGTACAGCTTTGAAAATGAATTCGCCGAAAAGAGAACTCTTCGCTGAACCAATCTTTCTTATTTAATGTCATAATAGGTGTATTCCGTTTATAAAAAATCCATATTTAACATTGAATATGGTCATCAGTACTATCTTGCTAGTCGATCGTACCTAGAATGTTTGGATGTTAGCTGAAGTTGAACTATGATTAAAGGTTTACATGTTTCAAATGTATTATGGGTTGAATAACTAAATTTTCAATATAATCTAACAATGAGGCTTAATTGCTCAATACTAACAGTTTTTTTCGCATTCATTAGCTACTCATTGTCTTTGTTTTCTAAAATTTAATTCATTTGTATCAGTCATGATTATGATGAAGATGGAAGTAATATGATATTTGCACGTATTTGTAACTTCAGTGAAACAATAAAATCCCTAAACTTTTTAGCTTAGCCTCCATGTATTTGGTCGCGTAATTGTATATTCCCTTGATGATAAAATGATACTTCAGTTTTGTAGAGATCACATCACTTTCTAAGGTGTTCATCGTAGATTTTTGCTCCACTGTAAACTATTTATTTATAGGTATTTCCACAATTTCTTGTTGAATCAAATCGAAATTCTGTTTTGAATCTCTATTTTTCTTACATATTCTTCGGTATGTATTCAAGCCAATACGTGATCCTTGATTTATCACTTGACATGTCTTATAAAGTATACGGTTGACCTAGGAAAATACGTACAACTTTTTCAGTAACATGATATACTAGCCCTTTTATTCCGTAGAACTGCTTTTTATGGTGTTGAGGCTAATTTCTCTCTATTTGGCTACAATATTTCATATCCCGTTAACGGAATATTTTAGCAGGCCAAATCTTCTAGTAGTATTATGAGTTTACTCGAGAATATTCAAAAGCCAGAAAACCGGTTTTTGGGACAGTGTATTAATGAATTAATCGATTAATGAAACCCGCAAGTACACGGGGAATCGATCGATTTAAAAAATCCATATATATTTATGAGTGTTAATCGATTGTGGAGCTAAGTTATTGATCGTCTATGTAAACAACCAATGGGAGGATAGATAAAGAATGAGGTGCAGATATACGTTCAATCAGACTCACACATACTTTTACATAGTGGGTTACTTGTCTAAATTACATCAGCTAGGTAATAAAAACTTCGAAGGGCTTGCTATAATGCCACCTATAACTTGCATCTATTTTTCTTACCGCAAATTATTTTACGTATGTTACATTTTTATTATTCTCTTAGACTATTTTTATCACTTTTAAATCCTGATCTTTCATCAGAAATGTGTCTGTGGCAGTCTAAGCATTCAATTACATAGAGCTGTTAAGATATTTTTGTTCAAAAGCAGATTCCTTTAACCTATTATGACTTTGCTGAATGCATATTTTAATATTACTGTGTTTTCTGTCGGTTTCATCTTTTTGTATACTGCTGCGAAGCGGCAGTTCAGTGGTTAATGCGTCCCACTTTCGCCCACTAAATCCCAGATTCTTATCCCGCTCTACCTACTTCTGTATGATCAAACAGTATCGCTTGCCCTCACACTTAGAGTGTGGGTTAAAGTCTAGTAAACGAATCTGTAACTGGTAGGTAAGTTGTAAAGTGTAATAACTTGAGGTAGCACACAATTTTAGCTAGGTTCTACACTTATCTATTCTTGCTACAAGCATTTCTACTAGGAAAAGTGCAATAGGACAAATTACATCGTCAGTTCGTTTTGCATTTACAGTGAGTCGTCTTTCCTGTCTTTTTACTTTATTGTAAATGTTATTTACGCAAATTTAAAATTACTATTCACTAGTTATCCTTTCTGCTTTCTCTCTTAACCATCAAAATAACTCATCTCTTATTTTATTTTGCATAGAATTGCGAAAATTGAAATTTGCGCTTATGGATTTGAAACGCTCTTCGCTATTTTTTCCCGGTATCAGATTGGTCAAAGATATCTTGTGTAAAATTTTAAGCGTTTGCCCTGATCTAGATGGAGAGTAGACAAATAAATGGACTAAAAGTGAGCCATGTCTTCGGGACAGAATAAAGGATAATATATTTTTCTTTTCTCAGTTAATGTTTTCGTCATATTTCTTTATCTTGTTAAGTTTTATTTTGCGTAATTTTGGCGTTTCGTCTAAAATCTCTTTTATCTTACAGCTGCTAATGTAAACATTTATACCAAAAGATTATTTATAATTTATCTTCATTATATACTTCATTTTGAGAATTTTCCTTCAAGTCATTACGTCACAGTTTAAACAGTATCATATAAACTATAACGCAAATAGTCCGAAATAAATTCATACAAAAATCGAGTGAAGTCTCGATTTATTTGGTTCTTCTCCAATAAATAAATAATGTACCATTATGGTTCTCTTGTTTACGACATATATTTCAATTATTTGGTTCTGATATAGTTTGATTTTAACCAATTTGCAGAAATTAGAGCCGTATCTATAAGACAAATCTTTATTATGAAGTGTCGGAACTTATTCGGAAATTCTTAAACAATTGTTTTCTGAAATTCGTTATTTGAAAATTTACCGAATACCTATTCTTTAGTTTGAAATCAGTGATAGGTAGTTAATTAGTTGAACGCTTTGAACACTTGATCTATCTCGGAAGTCGCATTAGTTTCGATAGTTGGGTGTCTAACGAGATCTTGCCATAGGTCCGAAATGCTCGCTTGGCTTTTGCGAAATCTTGTCACTTGTGGAGTAAGCGAGGCGCCCATTTGCCAATCAAAAGTCGATTATACTTAGCAGCGGTTTTCTCTGTATTACTCGATAGCTTTGAAACATGGTCTGGGAGAGTAGAAGACACGTGTGCGCTGCAATATTTTTGGTTATATGTGTCTTCAAAGCATTGATCCGAGTATCATGGAACGACCAAGCGAAAAATGTTGGGGTTAGACATAGATTACTAGCCAAATACACCAAGAAGGTTTATGAGTTTAGCAATATTCATTAATTTGGACGGTTAAGACACGTGTTACGTATGGATAAACACAGCCTACTTCGGTGAGAGATGCTGGCTACTGTAGAAGTACGTTGGAAGCTAGGAGAGGACAAACTAAAACGTGACATCAGTACATAAAGCTACCGACTGTTAGTCTGAGCCACGACCGTTTTGCTACCTTGACGTGGTGGTCGGGCTTGCCTATCGTGATGAAGCAACCGAGCTATACTGGCTGGAACAACCGTTCCTCAAGGTCCTACCATGTCAGAGAGGTCGGTTGAAGAGCGGTAAGACTAAAAGCAACAAACCCAAGGTCCAAAGGCGAAGTCGTATTGCTGACTGTACAGAGGTGTGACAGCAGTAAGGTGTTTCCTTCAGACAACCAGCATGACAGCGATGCTGCCCTCCCACAAGGAGGGGTGGGGTTAGAAAAGGTTGACCCTAAAAATGCACACCTCGCCTTATCCCACGGATATCCGTCCCCAACAATAAGGTCTCAACAAGTACGGAGCTAACACAAAAATTACCCATAAAAGGCCGTGTGTGACCGACCCCAAGCAGTTGTCCCTTGAGCACTGCGTCACGCTATCAGGTCACTAAGACCACCTCTAATCCAATTTCATTTTCAGGTACCTCCAGAACAACCCTTCCACGGTGTGGGCAACCGGGAAGTGATAACCGCCCTCATACCTCTAACAGCACCCAAGACCACTGTATTCATAATCAACCTTCCTCTTCAATTCCTATTATTCCTCCTACATCGACTTTCACCTCTAAACTTCCTTTTTCGGATTCCCCCTCAAGTGTCACCATAGCCAACGATTCTAGTGCTCAAAACTCTGTCCCAGGTCTACTGAAACCTCGCTCCAAACTACACATTGGAGCTTTCAACGTACGCACTCTATGTCAAATCGGTCAGCAGGCTTCCTTGGCTAAAACCCTAGAGTCTCTTTCCATTGATGTATGCTGTGTCTCCGAAACACGCATACAGGATCCCAATGTGGTCATTCACTTGACCTCACCTCGGCAAAACAGAGAGCCAACGAGATACACCCTCTGTGTATCTGGTGACCCGACGCCCAGCCCTCGTGGACTGGCAGGAGTAGGGATAGCACTAAGCATGAGGGCCGAACAAGCACTGTTAGAGTGGATCCCCGTTAACAGTCGTTTGTGTGCTGTTCGGCTAAACGGCTCCGTAAGATCTCGGAAGGATAGGGACACACGTCGTTGCCTTTTCGTCGTTTCTGCCTACGCTCCCACTAACTGCAGCTCAGATGAAGTGAAAGATGAATTTTACAGAAAGCTTTCTGAACTTCTGCAGAAAGCTAAACGCTCAGACATAGTACTTGTAGCAGGTGACTTTAATGCCCAGATAGGTAGTTTAAACCGAACAGAAAGGCATTTAGGTGGGTATTTTAGTATTCCGGCTCAGCGAACAGATAATGGTGATCGTCTGCTGCAACTGTGCTCAGACAATCGCTTATTTTTAGCAAACACAAATTTTAAGCATAAGGAGAGACATCGTCTAACATGGCGACCCCCTACACCAAACCAACGATGGACTCAAATAGACCATATTGCCATCAGTCATCTTTGGAGAGGATCGGTAGAAAATTGTCCCCCATTCTGGAGTACCTGCTTGGACTCCGACTACGCCCTAATACGGGCACGCATCTGCTTGCGCCTCATTGGGCGCAAAAAAGCCACAGTAAAAAGACCTATTATAACTGAATTGAGTAGCGAGGAAACCAAAAGTAGGTTCCAGGAACATCTGAGGTCACAATTAGGTAGTTCTGAAAACGAGGCTGACCCAGATTTTGCTTGGAAAGCTATACAAGCAGTAGTGACATCTATTAGCGACTTAAACCACAGAGTTTCAAAGAACCAGTGGATTTCTTCAAAGTCTATCACACTGATGGATTCTCGCAAACTCGTCCCATCATGTTCTGAACATGATGAAGAGCGACAACAAATCAGATCTAGGTTAAGTAAAAGTCTAATAAACGACCGTGAGCAGTGGTGGGCAACGAAAGCAAAAGAGATGGAAAAGGCGGCGACTATAGGGAACACAAGACAGCTTTACAGACTAATAAAATAAACTGGAATTAATAAGTCAAGTGTAAGTGAGATTATATCGGAAAAAGACGACACCCTCATCTGCTCTCAGTCCAGACGTTTAGAACGATGGGCGGAACATTTCAGAGAACAGTTCAGCTGACCTTCAGCTACTCTACAACTACCCTCCATTCTCAGACAGTGTGAATGGAACATTGAAGTAGGTCCCCCAACTCTGGCAGAAGTTCAAAAGGCTATAGTTAATCTGAAACGAGGAAGGGCAGCTGGTCCAGATGGATTGGCTCCAGAGGTCTTTAAGGATGGTGGTCCAATTTTAGCGATTAGGTTGACTAATATTTTAGCTAAGATCTGGGAGTCAGACGTTATTCCATCTAACTGGTCACAATCACTTATCGTCTCAATATATAAGAATGGGTCAAAATCATCCTGTGACAACCACAGAGAGATTAGTTTAACTATTATAATATCTAAAATGCTAGCCTCGATAATTATCAGACTCCTAACTAAGACTCGTGAACTGCAAACACGAGAGAATCAAGCTGGCTTCAGACCTGGTCGTGGTTGCATCGACCACATATTCACCATTCGTCAGATTCTAGAACACAGGCATACTTATCGACGTCCGACAATGGTGGTCTTTCTCGACTTAAAAGCAGCATTTGACTCGGTAGACCGCGAGATTCTGTGGCAGTGTCTGTCATTGAAAGGCGTACCCCAGAAGTACATAAACCTTGTGAAGGCTCTTTACTCGAACACTACTAGTCGAGTCAGAGCTTATGGTGAACTGTCATCTACTTTTGCAACCTCAAGTGGTGTCCGTCAAGGCTGTCCACTTTCTCCATTTTTGTATAACTTCATAAACCTATTGATGGAAATAACATTCTCGTCAACTGAATTCTCGGGTATCGATCTCCTACCAGGAGGTCCACTTATCGACTTAGAATACGCAGATGATATAGTCCTGTTTGGTGAAGACGCTGACAAAATGCAGAGTCTTTTGGTAGCACTGAGCAACAATGCCAGGATGTTTGGAATGCGCTTCTCTCTCTCTCTCTAAATGCAAGTTGTTGCTTCAGGACTGGTCTGCGTTAACACCTGAACTAAGGATAGGGAGTGAAGTAGTCGAACGCGTTGACAACTTCACTTATCTTGGAAGTCTGATCAGCCCTAATGGGTTAGTGTTTGACGAAATCTCAGCACGGATTCGAAAAGCTCGATTGGCTTTTGCCAACATGCGTCACCTATGGCGAAGGCGAGATATCCGTCTATCAATAAAAGGACGAGTATACTGCGCGGCAGTCCGTTCTGTTTTACTTTACGGCAGCGAAACATGGCCATTAAGAGTAGGAGACACTCGTAAGCTATTAGTATTTGACCACAGATGCCTTAGAAATATTGGTGGCATCTGCTGGTATCACCGGGTAAGTAATAGTGAGGTTAGACGCAGGGTATTAGGGAATGATGGTAAATCAGTTGATGAGGATGTGAATCTTCATCGACTGAGATGGTTGGGCCACGTGTTACGTATGCCCGAACACCGATTACCACGAAGTCCAATGCTAACCGGTGTTTGGGATGGTTAGAAGAAAGTTAGGGGTAGCCAAACCAAAACGTGGCATCAGTGCTTGAAGTCACTAACTTCTAGTCTTAGCCATGTTAGTAGATGCAGACTACTTGGTTGGGGTCCGCGTGACTATCGTAACCAATGGTTGGAGACTCTGGGTGACATGGCTCAGAATCGATCACAATGGAGTAGGTGTATACACTCTCTGTCTTCCCTTAAACCAAGAGATTAAAATCGCTTCATATCTTTCTTTCTATGAACTAATTCTTTCTTCATGTACTATATCCTTATTGCAATCTTTCTTTTATATATTACCACCTCTGAATTAACTACCTTTATGAATCCGGTGTCCATCTTGTTGTGTTGATGAGGAATGGCAACTTGGACCGATGCATTTATGTGTCTGGTCCTACGTTGTAGCTGATTGATTGGTTGGGGTGCGCACGATAAGTAGTTGGAAACGTTGGGTGACATTTCAAATCCGATCACAATGACACACACGCACTCTTTATCTTACTCTAGATCTTCAGTCTCAGTATTCCTTCACATATTGTACCTTTGCATTTTTTCAAACCTCATTCTGGCTATTCTGTAGTTACCCATAGTTCGTAATTATTTGTGTCTGATATATCTAGAAATCTTCAACTGTGCTCCACATATGCGACGTTTCGTGCAGCACGATATTGGCATTGTCTCTGCATAAATGTAAATCAGTCTGATTTACAAACTTAGGTTTTCTTAATATTTGTAATTTCAATCTACCTTTTTCATATTGAATTTTAAAGGTTACTAAGTGAGGAAAACTAACTTTCACACATGAAATCTTAGAGATTAAACGCTTTGTAAGTGACATTCATGCAACATTGTCCTAAATAGTTGCTATGATATCCGTTGACGGTATTCGGAACGATTACGAAGGGTGATAAAAACAATTCTACCAACCACTGAAGTGGTGAATAAATTTGAAATTAGTAAAAACTAAACGGTTTTCTCTAGCTTACCTGGGGAGTAAATATATTTGATCTTTGGATATCAGTACCATACATAATACATAAATCGATTTAAAACCTTTCGTTTGAAGTAATTAGTGTCTTAAAACATATACGATCATGGACAGGAAAGAGAGAAACGTATAGTTTCCGACCCAAATAAAATTCTTGTTTATATCCTCTTATTGATATAGCCGAACGTTTGATTACACCGCAACTAGTTGGGAGTTTTAAAGAACACTTCCTGAGAATAAGTGAAGTTCCTTTTTTGGTATATCCCCTTTATCTTGAGTGAATATGAAATATTATATAAAAAAACTTATTAGTACACATCTAATATTATGTAAAACCCTTAAATCGATCATATCTGGAGTGTACTACTGAATGACACAAGGTATGACAGTGAGCGAACACCTGTTCGAGTGTCTTTTTTATGGGACCAGTTTTGTTCAGTTGAACATACATTCTCTAGCGAATTTAGAGTCAGTATTTATATCAACAGAGAGGTTTGGTTTAGAAACATCGCTTGCTAAAGATATAATCTTGATTGCCTAGGTAAGACAAAAGAACAATGGAATAACATATGGTCTTATTTAACTAGTACGAAGAATGCTTGTAAATTTACGTTAAAAATAACTCAATGAGGTTCTTGCCATAAAATGGTTTCACTATCTGGATCATGAATGCCTCAAGATTTGAAAATAATATTACTAATGAATGCTACATACTGAAGTCAGAAAACCCAAGCTATATTTTTCCGTGGCATTGTAAACAATCGCTACCACAGCATTAGAATATATATATCGGCTGTGCATTAATAAAATGTTTGCAATAATAGCAAGTAGAGGAAACTCAGAAACGTTTAAATTATTAAAAAAAATTAGCTTCGACAATGAGCAACTGCCGAGTGACATAATCAAACCAAATTTTCTGTTATATTAGAATAAAGTGAACATGATGGAAGAAAATAAAAATTGGAATGAAGAGAATTTAAGTTTATAATGTAGGTATTGTATATTTACAGTAAACAAATTGAGTGCATACTAAGTAAATATATAGAAAATTGTTTTATCGAATCCTCTTTGTGTATATTTCTCTCCAAATTCCCAAATAACCTAAACAAAACTAGCTTGCACAGTCGGAAATGAAATAGCATAATGTGACATTTGATTAGTTTTAGTACAATGAATATTGTTATTACTATTATCAGTAGTAGTAATACTGCTATTGTGACAACCAGTAGTAATTGTGTTGTTTTTATCTTTCATGTCCGAGGATGGATGCACTGTTATCATTCTTAATTGTTTACTTGATTGATCCTCCCCATCATTAAAATCTGAATTAAAGGGCATGGTTTTACTCTGGAATTTCGTACTGCTTAAATCTTTATCAGTGGTATACCTGGTGGACTTGGATCGTTTTAATTGTGTGCCGTAATATTCCGGTATAAGGTTTATACCATCTAATGTAGAACCAATTTTATTGTAGAAATTTGTTTCAGTCCATATTTGATTGCTTTCTTTATTATGCTGCTTTTTAATCAAATCATGCATACTTTGACTCAAATATGGGTCAGATTTCCATACACTTAAATGTGACGTAAGCTGTGGATAACAAACACTACTGCTATTTTCAATGTATTGATCATTGTCTGGGATAGGCGTTATATGAATTGAGTGAACTTGAGGTCTCACATAATCATCTGATTTACCACTTTCTGTGAAAGAAGCAGTCTGTCGTTGTGTAGGTAGCGAGAAAAAATAGGTAAAATAATCAATTCAATATGAAAACTTAAATAAATACAAATTATATTATGCAAGAGTTCGAGTTTTTTAGTTGTTGACGTTTAAGCACTGCAAACGATCGGTTTCTTTTCGGTTTATATACATCTTAAGTGGATCGTAGGATCCTGCCACCTAGATACAAGTACTTTCTTAGCAATGTTAGACGGAAGCTGCAAGTGGGATTTAGGACGCGCGTTTCGTCATATTTTGGATCCTTCTGCTCGAGATACTTGCGTCTTAATGTTGATGTTCACACTAAAAAGAACCCAATACCTATCACTTCAAACGCCAACGCATTATCTACTGAACTATTGAGTTCAAATAGCCACAAATGTTTACAATGTGAATAGTATGTTATTTTAAATGTAAAGGTTTGAATCTTCCCACTGTTGATGATGTTAAGGATAGCAATCGGTCATGTTTTTCGGTGTAAACATCAACATTGGAATGCAGGTATATCTAATTGACCAGTCACAAATAGAATTGAATGCACATCCTGGGTTTTATTGCTAGCTATCATCCAACTTTACTAAAAATGCAAATCATAATGCTGCTGACAAACTGAACCAATTTCACTTGATTTTATTTTGAATGATTAGCAAAACCTGTTCGATAACAATAATAAGTATCTAACTAATTCATACATAGGTGGATAAGATAAAATTCCTTTTTATACAATGAAATGACCATATCCTGTTTCACTTTGGGTGACTGGGCAGTATTCCAACCCTCACAGGTATGGAATGATTTGTGTGGAGCATTGGTATTTGGTGCCCTCTTGTACCGAAGTTTCTGTGCTTAAATAAATAAATGACCATATATTTTGGGCTAAAAATCCCCAATAACTGAATGATTTGCAGAAAATCCTAAATACCAAATGAATTCGGCTAAGAAAAAAGTGAATGACTAGCGTTCGTGTTGTCGTAGTCAATATTCAATAATGTGTGTATATATCTACATATCATAAAACTTTTATATCTATATTTGTTGTTCAAATCGATGGTACAACATTCAATGGCCAATAATGTCTATTTCTATAGTATGTTGTGGTCATTTATCGTCAAATTTCATTATTTCGTAATAAGATAGAACTAAATGTCCTGTAGTCAACATACAATGAACCCATTTGAACAATAATTCAAACTACTAACTTGTAATAAAAGCAGTAAGAATAATCAACTTGTTAAGGATTACACCCACCGGGTTAATGAACGGTTCAAAATAGACTGTTACATATTATCTAAACAAATCGTCTTAGTATTTGCCAAACTTATCAATAATTTTAAAGGAATAACGTTAATCAACTATTTATTTAATCAGATGACAATTATAGTGATGTATGTTTCCCAGGTTTTCGATGGTTCTCCAGATGTCAGTCCGTAATTAAGACTAATTTCAAAGCCAGTATAATCCCTGGAAATACGGACACCTATAGACGACTATTGGTAATAATAACAATAATAATAAATAAAAGTATGATAATTCGAAAAATCATAATAACTTAGGTTGCTAATCCTGTAAGCCTATTATTTCATTGGGTTATTCTATATTGATATAAATCACCGATCTATCTGTTGTAATATCCTATTTTAGATCTTAAAATATTCTAATAAATAAATTTAACTAGAAATACCTGATATGAATTGATATTATCTTTAATTGGTCGAAATTCAAATTCAGAAGCATCCCATGCATTTCTCGGAGCTATATGTGCATTTGATGTCTCATTACATTCATTAATGTAACATAAACGCCCATTAGGAACATATTGTTGCTGTTCACCAACATTGTAGGCATGTAACAATCCATTACCTAATTTTATCAATAAAAATTGCCAATAGGAAATCAAGTTAGGAAATATTTTCATTTGTTATCAGAATGAGGTTTTGCGGAAATTGTAGTAGTTTAGTAGTTGAATTCATGAGTCGATTCAAGCTAGACCACCATTGAAAACCTGGAAGCACTGGACGGTCGTGTCGTCCTAGTATGAGACTCTTCAGCAGTGCGCATCTCATTATTATTATTATTATTATTATTGAAGTTTTCATTTGTCGCTAAAAAATCAGTCTTCCAATATATATATATATATATATATATATATATATATATATAACACAGAGTAAGATGTTCCACTCACCAAGTTCTAATATATCATACATTATCAACGCATATGCTTTTGATCACCGTAATCAAAACAGAAATTCGTTTAAACTATGATTAATAATATAAGCAAAGATGGATAGTGGCTAGCAGTGGAATCCAGGACGCGCGTTTCGTCTTGTTTGGGACTCGTTAGCTGGATGTACCTGCATCTCAGAGTTGATGTTCACTCTGGGACTCGAACTCAGTACCGTTCGCTTCAAACGCCATCGCGTTATCCACTTAGCTACTGAGTCCTGATAGCCACTTGCTTGTGCAATGGGTTGAAGTTTAATTCACTTGATATTGTTTTACTTGAATCTTCCCATTGATGTTTTTGGACTGAAATTGATCAGTCTCTTATTGGCATATGTGCATACTGTGCGTATGCCTCGATATTGCCTTAATTTACAAGCATTATATGATTAATAATACAATGATTTATATCATTTTTTTTCTTAAATGTCACATTACTTACTAGTAGTAAGTAGTATGAGTTAAAATCTTGGGTATTATTACGTCTTAAAAACCGCACTTTTCACAAACGTTGGATGTACTCTTTTTGATTGTAGTTCTCCTTGCTATTAATTAATTTCTTTGTGTAAGACAATCCATGAATTGTTATATAGAATGGTAAACTACCTTTTAATAAAGTAGGCAATTCAGTGAAAACTTTATTTTGGATGACCGTACTTATAGTTAATTTGCTAAAAGTAGAGGTTCATAGTAAAACAAAGTGACGTTGATTAAAATACGCATCTCGGAACATTACTGTGCCTGGCTATCTGAAGTATTACAAAGTTCAGTTAACCAACTAATCAATCATGGTCACTGCTTTATCAGAATCTCCCTTCAATATGATCCGTACGTTTGAGAAAATCAGCTCAAGATCAATGCAAATGAAAAATCTCCTTTAGCATGATCGTGACCTTCCTTCCTACCTCCCAATATCTATCTTTTTCCCATTCGTTTTCAGTTATTTTCCACAACTAATAATTAGCCACTATACAACGTTTAATTACTCTGATCTTAATATATATCAACAGACAATTATCCTCACCTTGGCATTTTTTTTATGAGCCAGTTATTACGTAACTTTCTCTCAACATCTGATTTTCATTGTTAATTTATGACACGTTATCACTTCGAGTTTTTTTAATCATTACTCAATACTATTCTTTTTTACTGTAGTCTATTATTTCTAGCAAATAAATTAGCCACAAATTCTATTGTACAGCTTAGGTAAATGAAATTGTTGAGAAGAAAATTTTCTACCCTGAATTGTCTTTAGTCTTCTTTAATAACAGTAAGTTTCCTTTTTTCATTGTTATTTGCTCCAAAACGCTACAAATGACTAGAAAATCAATATTATTTTGAAGTGCCAATGAGCAATCTCATACAGCATTATCTCTGTGAACCCGATGATATAAAGAAAACGTTATTAGTAGAAACAATTAGTAATATTCAGTATTGAGTTCAATAAACTGAACTATATTCATTCAACTACATTTACGACTGTTTTGATAAGATAATTTTTTTACCTGGTTTGTAGCCACGATAGAAATCCTTTTTACTTTGATTGGGAAATTCTACTCCAAATGAATTCGGAACAAAATGATAATAACTGCCATGCTAAATCATTCGGGAAAAGAAAATAAAGGAAAATTTATTGTAGACAAGTTAGTGGTAAAATGTATGTAGTCTAGTAAGAGTAAAAGTGTACACCTGTTAATAAATTCTAAGTACATACAATGGTCTATTAGCTAAATAATTGATGAGGTAGTGAATTTCTATCGACTTATGTGGTTGGGACATGTATTATGCATGCCTAATCACTGCTTTACTCGACAAGTGATGCTTGCTGGTGTCGATTAGAAGAAAGAAAGAAGTGACTAAAGCTAAATACTATACCTGTCTATGAAGTCATTGACTGTCAGACTAAGTCATGTTTATAGACACAGACGACCTGATACGGATATGCGCAATCATCGTAACCGATAGTTGGAGACATTAGATAACATGACTCAGAATCGGTTACTATGGCGTAGATGAATCCACACTTCGTCTTAGATTCCGAGTTTAATAAATATTCCTTTTTCTTCGACAAATTCATTTTTTCTTGTAGAATCATATTGTCTATGCCCGAACTTTTCTACTATCACTAATGCATGTAGTACTTCTATTACTCCGCGGTTGGTTTTAGAAATTTTATTTTGTTGTGCTAATGTGGTGTAGCAACTTGAACTGATGTATATTTGTGCTACGTCCTACTTTCAGTATTGTTGACTGATTACTAAAGAATAGGTTCATTTTGAGCTACTATTCGACCCATCTTAAACTACTAACTACGACTTACTTGTTTTTATTTAGTTCTCGGTCTCTTTAGAAATTCACATCCAGGAGGAAACACAAGCATTTATGCTATCTTCCTCGATTACTCTTGAAAGCACCAATAATAAGGATCATTGTCATAAGTGACTATAAGTAGAACTGGATCAGAAATTAAGTAATCCTAAAGTGTCCTGTATTTCACCTAATTAAAAAAACACGAGCATATACACTCTTCAAGATGATAAGGCATAAGTGACAGGTCACATACAAGTGCTTTTGGATCCTACTAGATGCATCTTGACAATAAGCTGCGTTTGTAAGACATTTTATTCTAGTGAAAAGGAAACTTATTAACTTTAACCACGTGGAAGAAAATGTATTTCAGATATTAGCGGAAATTAGTTATATATATATATATATAATAAACTAACCATTGTATCATTAGTTTCATTGACAATATTAGGTATATTTACAGTCAATGGATTTACTGGCCAACATCTATGATTGCTATTAGTAACATATGAAGTGTGCTTACGACTAAAATAATTAAAATCATAATTTGAGTGAGATGGCGAAAGAGAATTGTTAAAACTACTAGTATTATCAGTGACGAGAGCATTTGATGCATCAGAATCCACAAAGAAATCTTGATTCTCATCATGTCGACGATTTCGACTATTAGTGATCAGACGGTGTTCTCGCTGTTGTTGTTGATGATGATTGTGTGAGATGGGTAAATGTACAACAGAATGACTACAACATATTGGACTAACTGGTGTTAACGAGCCCAAATTGAAATTCGTTTGTTTATATTTTAATAAATCTGTACATACTCCATAATCAATATGATTCAAGTATTTCAACGTTGTTGTTGTTGCTGTATTTGTCGTCATCACTGTTTTTATCGGTGTATTATTATTACAATCAGCAGTTATATTGGTAGTAGTAGTAGTAACAGTAGTAGTGGTCGTTGTAGTAACCGTCGCATGATCAAGTAATTTTTTCAAATAAGGCTTTTCATCAATATTCGATGACAACGTTGATTGACTACGTCTAGACAACAAACATGTACTGCAACATAAACACTTATTATTATCATATATATCTGGGATAAAATGCAGAAAATTATATTTATGTCGTAAATAAATACATAATCCAACCATGATCAAAACAAAAAATAAAATAACTATAATGATAATAAAGAGAACATTTGAATCAAGATTTTTAAATAAGGACAATGTCAGTAAGTCATTGCTGGTAGTGTATAATTCCTGTCGACTTCTATCATATAAGTCAAGATTATTTCTAATAGAATGATGATGATTACTGTGTATTTGATTAGATGATGATGACGATGATAGAAAATCATTAAACTGATATTTCCTATTATTTTTTATATCTGATGACCATTGTGGTTCAGACTGATCAATTAACAAACGTAAGAACAACTGTGTTTCCAATGATGGTTGACCTTCATCTCGTACTATTATATGTACTTGATATTCACCTAGATCATCTTTTGTTAATGTACGACGTGTTTTCAACATACCACTATCTCGATCAATTGTAAATAAATCATTGCTTTTTAAATCATGTACCATTTCAAAATGAAATTTCCCATTGAACTGATCAGCATCACGATCATTAGCGTTAATACTGATAATTTCATGACCAGCGTAAACACGATATGATAAACGATGTATGGTAGAATTCGATGTAATTGGGTTAGGAAATATAATCTCTGGTCTATTATCATTCACATCAATCACATTGACAATAACAGTCAATGAAGCTGTATGACATGGATAACGATGATTATTTATAATATTAGCACTTGGATAATTATTTTTCATATCATGATAAGTACGAACAGGTTCATTGTCTGTGGCAATAATATTAAATTGGAAAGCTTCCTCTGTTTCACGATCTAATGGGCGTGTTGTATTCAAAAAGTATCGTCCATTACCAATTTCATGTAATGTAAAAGGTAGATCTCTTCTTCCATGTCCTGGATCAATACGCACTTGTAATCCTTTATGCTGCTGCTGTTGTTGTTGTTGGTTTAGAATTTGAGAGAAACTTGATGACTTTCCAAAATAATCATCAGCTTGTTTTTCAAGTAACCCAGGATAATAAATATCATCAAGTTGTACAAATGAAAATATATCAGGATCAATCACTGCAATTTCACCTATTTTAGTACCAGTTGGCTGATTTTCCTCAATGTTAAATGTAGGTCCCGTGCTGATAATTTTTGGAGGATTATCATTTTCATCTACGATGATTACCTGAATTAAAGCGAACGAATGTAATTGATGTGAAACACCATGATCTGTAGCTTTAATCAAAATGAATACTTCATTTGTTATCATTCCATTTTCCTCACGATCAATTAATTGACGAGTTGTTAAATCGCCATGAGTTGTATTTAATTGAAATAAATTAAATGCTTCTTGTTTACTATGTATTTCAATTACATCACCATTCATATGATTATTATTATAATAAGTATGTTGATTTAGTAGAATATGTTGAAGTTGCGGTGAGTAGCTTAGTTTTGAAGATAAATTATTAAATGAATATGACTCAACCATTTCAAATGTAACACGACCATTTTCACCGGAATCATTATCAATAGCATTTAAATGAGCAATTAATGTAGATGATGGTCTATTTTCAGGTATATATACAGTATATACAGAAATATTAGCTAAGAATGCTAAAAATATAGGTGAATTATATACTTTGTGCTTGTCTTGTTCATTATCTAATAAATAAGTTAACTTTTTCACTGACCATGGTTGTACTGGTATGTAATGAGGTTGTCGTCGCTGAAATTTATCTGCATTGTAAGTGCTGGCCGCTGTCAAACTTATTGTAGAAACATGAATTTCTGGAATGCAATCATTTTGATCATCAATTTTTACCTGTAAAAAGAGCAAATGGGAATAATAGCAATAAATTAAACAGGAATTATTTGTGCACATTCTGTTATGAATTCAAAGATAATAAATTATCTGTATGAAGTTATGGAAATTGTTGAGTATTATTGAAATTATGAACCGATCAATATTAGACCCACACTAGGACGAAATGTCCGTCCTGTGCTTCTAGGTTATTAATGATGATCTATCAATGATAGGTTCATGGTTTCAATGAAACTCAACAATCTCCACGACTCTATATTGACAATTATCATGTGCTCACTAGCGACCAACGTAAAGAGGAAATCCGCAGAGTTCTAGTGAGAAGACATGACCAATGGAGTTCAACCGTGTTGAGTGTAAGGTAGTTACCCACTGAAGTGTCATAAAGTAAATTTATAGACTCATAAGTTATTCGTGTGTTCTTAAGTAAATAGGATTTTTATTTTATAGAACAAGATGAATTCTAGGTTGACTATCCTGTGTACATATATTATAGCAAACTTATCACTTTTGATTTACAAGAAATTAACAACAAACTTATTTTAAAAAAGATTTTCACCCTTCATAACTTCACCATAGAATATAAGTAACTCTAATTAAAAATAGTCTAAAAGATTCTTAACTTACAATTAAAAGAGTTGATAATAACAACATTGTAAACAACAATTCACTGCAAATAAAACATCAGTAGAACTCACTTTTAACCGCATTTTAAATTTCGATAATGTAATAAGAAGACGAAGATTATCAAAACGATATATATATATATATATATATATATATATATATGTTCTTAACAAGTATATGTGTGATCAGATTGTTCGAAATGTATTGCGCTAATTTATCACATAGTTCTGATAATCTTCGTCTTCTTATTACATTATCAAAATTTATCAAAGGGACTAATTGCTTTAAACTTCGAAACGTTATTTTCTATTTATAGAAATTCTAACAATTTCAATCTATAGTATAGCCTACAAACTAGACAGGGCCAATTCTACATTAAGTATACCGTTTCTTGTATTACCCATAGAAAGTGAGTATATATCTCAAATTACACAGAAGTTACTTTGCTCTCTTTTGTTCTCTACAGAAACAATTTAAGTTTAGCATAACAATACTACCGTAATATTACTCTTTTCTCATATTAAACCATTCCTTATGTTTGATGAAGTTAACTCATTTGAGATTTTTTCAAAATGGATAGCTGGATAAATTGAAAATATTTACAAAAGCACGATAGAAAAACATCCCACAAACATATGATCCTACTACGGCGAAAATAACTAATAATTCATTTATGATGATCTCCCATTTAGTCAGCTGAGTTTTACTAAAAAAAAATTTCCCTTCACCAAAACTGTATCAGTTCTAGAGGCCCATTCCAATTTTGCTCATGCTTTATATAAGTTTAAAATCTTAAACGTTTTAGAGGTTGAACTGCACAAAATACATTTGGTCAGTCAGTTATTTATAAACTGAAACCATTCAAGCTAATACATATCAAAAATTTCCTTTGATACTGTTAGCTAGTTTTTCCTTTGTATATAACAACCGAATGGATTCAACAGAAATGGAAGCTTTATAATATTACTGACTGATGTTAGTTAGACAATAATTGTAAACAAGCAAGTGCTGGACACCTGCTTTCTTTAGTATAGTGGCTTTCTGTACTGAACATCCGTGAACCACGAGGGACAAACTGAAGACCTCCAGGTCTCGGATTGTGTACTTAACCTTCGAATCTTTGACTCGGTATTCAATGATGTTTAGGTCTAACTTAGATCAATTCGCGATGTTGAACAACTTTCCATTGCTCTTCATAAATAACTGACCCAAAACCAATAGAGCTGAGCTCCATTGGGGACGCTTTCTCGTTATAATTAAATCTCAATGGTCGCAAAGTATCGTGACTTGAGCCTAGACATTAGATCCAAACGTCGTGGTCTTAAAGTCAAGCGCTTGCAATGAAACCTAAAGGTTCTGTATTCAGCCATCGGTTAGGTAATCGATTTGCACTGCTGAGGAGTCAGTTACTGGATAATAAACGCTCAGTGTTTCTTATTTTTCAATGATTATCTAAATAATATCAGTCTTTGATGACCAGTATGAGAAATAAAAACTTTCCACCCTCACTCTATTCTCGAGAAAAACATAAACAAGAAAAGCTTAATCAAAAATATTTTCTATGTGAAACAATGTAATTCATTTCTAAATAAAAAGTACTTACCACAACTGTTGCAGTCGACGTTTTCGGCGGTGTATCCGAATCTGTACAACTAATTACAACTCTATTCTCATCACCTAGTTCACGATCTAATGATTTAATTGTTTGCAAAGCATATCTTACTTCATTTGCTCTATTCAACTTGTAATTATCTGATTCAAATAAACTGTAGGATTCGTTATGTGTTTCTAATTTACATGAGATTGATGCAGTTTTAGACAATGAAGAGGAAGAATGTGAATGATAATTGTTGTTATCATTGTAATCAGGATCTGTGACTATGATGAAAGCGATAAAATATAAATTCATGGAATTTTCTGTAACATGTTTATATTGTTCATTTTTTTCGTTAGAATAATCAATTTGAATAAATGGAGGTTCATCATATTCATTATCAACCTATAAATTACAAAGATGTACATACATAGAAATTGTGTTTTAAAAAATTCTGCATAACAAAATGAGAATTAAAAGACACTTGTCTGTGTAAATGAATATTAATTTGAGAAAACAAATAAGTATGAATGCGATAACTTCAAAATCCGACCACACCTAACTACCTACCCCATGACTTCATTTAAAAAAAAGTACACACACTGGCAAACAATCATAATGAAAAACGAAAAATAAAAAAAACTTTGAAACTTTATGTCAGACAATTTCTTCTTTTATAAAAGAAAGATTATGAGATGCTATTTTCAGTTTTAGCCGAAAATTACATATAGATTTTAGTAAAATATATCCCAGTTAATATACCAGGTAAATCTGATGTTTCTTTTTATCTTTTCTTGTAAATAATGTTATCAATTTTAGTTAACTCGGATAATTGTCAAACTATCATCAGTGTATATAAGTACGTGCTTTACAAAAGTACATCTAATTTTTTATATGACACTTATATAAAAGAAAACTATCTAAACTGAAGATTTCTTGTTAGTAGTCTCCAAAAAAACATTATTTGCATGAAATAGATTTTTCACACTGATCTTAATATTTTCATTATTATCAGTATATGGTTATGGAGACTGTTGAATCTGAATTGATGTCTAGAGGTTAGGCGTTCCGTGAGTGTGATCGTGGAGTACCATACGAGGATGAAACGGCCGTTCAGTGCTTCAAGGTTTTCAATGGTAGTCTAACATTGATCCATTCATGATATCAATTTTCATCATTGAGATGGTGGGAAACATTTGTAGCATAGGTAGATGAGTTCATAGAAGTTTCGTTCTCTGAGCCAAATGGTTTAGTCGTGGAGCTTATATTAATCTTCTGGACAAAATTATCATTACAAACTTAGTGTAGGAGTGAAGTATTCGGGCTTCCGCCACACATAACTAACAGCTAGTCTTGTAAACCTCAATCTTGATTGATTGTTGTTGACCTTTAACCTAACAATCTGCAAAACATTACATCGGACAAAGTAGACGCCTACTCTATCTTCGCCTGCACGAACATCAATTAGCAGTCAAACGGCATGATAAATCTGCTTATATCAATGCATGTAGACAATTGTTGCTAAACATTCGACTGAGGAAATGTTGAAATCTTGGATAGTGTTATATCTAGAGCTCAGATTCATAATATACCGCGTATGACTTAGGCATCCGAACGCTAGAATCCTCCCAAGTAGCAAAATGAGAAGACAGAAGACTTTAGAAAGTGCTTGTTGGGCAAGAATCAAAATGTACAGAGAATCATGTGTATTTATAGATATTAGTGTTTGTTAAATCAACATTATAATTCATCCAATCCTCAAAAAGGCATGTTATGCTACTGACCAATAGTAGCATGCCACGTTCTAGAAAGCTCCATTGTGTTCTGGTTGGATGAAAATCTTCGGCTCTTCTAAGGCCTCTATAGGCTCCGACGTAGTTCTCGAAAGCCGTCTCAACAGAGAGAATACTAAGAGTACCAGAGAACATTTATGAGCTTAGCACTCAGTTTAATCATCAATCAACAAACGCATAAAAATGCGGTCATGAAACATGAGGTTTTTAATATGTAACAAGAACAACAACACTGACCCTTTACTATTGTCATAAAACAGAGTTTCCATGATGTATGTGTGCATATTTAGAAAGATGTTATGTTCTGTTTAGCTTGTCTTAACATTTAAACCTTCTTTGAAAGGAACCGTAAGTCAAAAAATTTATCCACTGGAGTATATGATTCAAACAACTTTTATTTATGTAAATAATACAAGACTACAATGTTGGAAATTGCTTGAATTAATCAAATGTATGTTCAATAATAGACTCCAATTTTATCATTCAAAGCTAATCGAAAGTGCTATATATTTCTAAAAGCATTGATTGTTCCTCCCTAGTTGAAATAGCAACAAAAAAAACGCATCTCAGTGATTACTGAATTTTAATTAAACTAATCGATTAAACCAAATTTTATTGGTTTTTTTTTTGTTACCAGATAGCTTTCAGCAGCCATACGCCATAATATTTATGTTCTTTTCTAAGGAAGTAACTAATGAATTTCTGGAATTCTCATTGACGTATAAACTTATCAAGTTCCTAAAAAATCCGTAAGAAAAAACCTAAAACTTGGATTCAATACATCACTATGCCCACGTTAGTCATAAAAGAATAAAATTGTACCATTCGAAAGAATCTATCAGTCAGTCAAATGAACTGGTAAGAAAATGTACCGGTTCAACTTGCCATAAATCATAACCACATTGAGAGAGAGAAAAAAAGAAGAAATCGACAAGTAGAGAAATCGTACAAACATCATTTGTGTTGATAAAGTAAGTGTGAGGAATATATATTGTACGTGAAACAAATGCCATCGTGACCAATTTCAATTCATTTTACACATCCAAGGTCTCTATATCTATTATGACTGTCGCGAAGTTTTCGGATAGGAAGTCTGCATCTACAGATATGATTCAGACCAGCGATTTTAGTGTGGTAATTCATATTCTAATCGCCAACCAATAACTAGGCTGGGCTTCACTTGGTATGACCTAATGGAATTATAACTAGACTATCGAAGCATTCAATAATTAAAAATTTCAAACTTATTGCATATAAATATCCCTAGTTTGAATATAATTGATACAACTAATTATTGCATAAATCTGTTAATGACCTTTCACAATCGCATAATTAAATTTTTTTATTGTCTAACGAGATTCGTTTTCAGAAATGAAGAATAACTAATAGTAATAATGTTCTACAGCATATCTAAAATAGTGAATTTCAAAAACAATAAAATTGTTTATAGGGTTAAAATGACAACAGTTGGATAGGGACTAGCAGGGGAATCCATGACCGACCTCTCGTTCTATTTGGAACTGGTTAATCTAGATGTGCCTACATCTTAGTACTGATGTTCATCAATTGTAATCCTTAACATAAACAAGAAAATACAAACTTTTAGATATAAAAGACATATACATGTTGCACAAGCTTGTGGTTGCATAGGGAGCCACACCCCGAGCCTTCAATCTAAAGGTCTGATCCACAAGGCAGTGGAGCAACGTAAGGAGATGCAGTCCCGTGGTATCCGGCCACGAACGATTGGTTCATACACCATTTTTCCTTCAGGATCCTGGAGCCCATGTGTGCCAATGGTTTGTAATCAGGGTTTTCCAACTTCCCTAGGTGAACTGTCCATGTGCACCAGCCCGGTTAAAGCGCCAGACATCCGCTTTTCGTCCTCTCAATTTCGTAAATAATACCCCCGCCGCGAGAAGGCAGTGAGTAGGACTTCCCTGGAAGTGGCTGTATAGGCGTGGGCATGTGAGATCATTTCGAGAGGGTGAGCTGACTCTCTCCACCCTCGGCCGTTCCATTACATTTGGGGGCAATTATTATGGTGTTCTATTTTAATGAATAATGTGATAAAAATATTTTCTGTGAAATAAATATATCACTTACTTTCACAATAATTTTAGCTGTTGCTGTCATATCTGAAGATACTCTGTGGTTTGGTGACGATAAAACTGAAGGTGGATTATAAGCTAGAACTTCGAAAATATGTTCTGATTTTGTTTCATAATCAAGTGGTCGCTGAATCGATAGTCTACCAGTTGAATCATCTAAATGAAACCAATAACCTGGTGGATATTGGTTTACATTCTTCATGTCATTACTGATAAGTGATGATGTTGAAGTAATCCATTCGGAACCTTTAGGAAATTTATAAATTATAACAGCGTTTTCTCCAGCATCGGCGTCCGTAGCACTCAACTGTAATATGGTTTTATTTATAATTCCTTCACTGACATGAATTTCATAAACTGATTGGTTAAAAACTGGTGCATGGTCATTTATGTCTATTACATGAATAAATAAAATAAGTGTACCAGTTTGTGATGGTTGACCGCCATCAATAGCATGAATCTGTAGTTTATACTGATCTTTTTCTTCACGATTCAGAGGTTTCAGTAAGACAAGTTCAAGTTTTGAAATAACCGACTCTGTTCTGTCATTTGATACATGACCAACAGAATGCGAAGGATAATGTCCATCAGAACTAATAACAATATTTTTTGTGTAATTCAGTTGGAACATAGGTAAATCTGACTCACTGGTAATTAAATGATCAAGATTTTCTAACTCATAACGTTGAACATTGAATGGTGAGGAGTCCAAATCTTCAGCCAATGGTAAAACTATACGACTTCCTACTGGAGATGCTTCAGATAAATTTGTAATAAGAATAGGTTGTCCACTGAAAGATGCTGGAAAACTATTTTGTCCTGATAACATTTTTAAGTGGTCATTAGGATTCTAAAATTTGTTTTACGAATAAAGTAAAATAGGCACACAATTAGCACATAGATGAATAATAATAGTAATAATAAATGGATCTCATTTACAGTGATTTGCTGCGCAGATCACTTTTTATACTGTCCCATACAAAAATGAGAATCTTAAAAATATATTACAGAAAGTCATGACCACTAGACAGCTATAATAGATCAGTCCTACTATTGGTTTTAATCTGATTGAGTGATCCAAGCTCACAACGCTTGGACAAGCTAAACTACATAGAACTTAGCAAAATGCACACCAACATGTATTTGCCGAACGATTATTATTTGCAATTTTATCTATATTTGTTTCCAATCAGAATCGTTCCAATAGCAGACATGTGGATAATGATTCTGGATGCACAAATAATTCGTTTACACAACGTAACTAACACATTCTTATATATGATTTACCATACAATCTTGGTACACAATGTGACATGTCACATTCTGTCTGATTTATTCGGTTTATCAATGCTTCAGAATGTTTATCTTGACAATTAGTAAATTAATATGTTTCACAAATATTGTAAGTCGTCGGCAATAGCATTCTCAAAAGTTTTCAAACATATGTAAAAAGTAAACCTTAATAATCATAAACTGTGTTAACAATAAGTACTTGTAATCCCGCACTAAACATTATATTTGTCTAAGAAGAACCAAGGAAATAATGAACACGATCAATAAAATAAGCTACAAATATTTCCCAGTATATTCTGTTTCTAACTATTTGATTAGTTAGTAGCCAGATATGTCCAAACGATTATATATATATATATATATATATATATATATATATATATATATATATAATATTTTCAGAAATATGATAAGTTTTATATGTATGGATGGGAAATGACAAGTGGATGGGAAGGAAAAATGAACATCGATAGAAGTGAATGTAAAAGCATCACGAATATAACTTGTAGAATATATCTTGATGTATATACAGAAAATTAATCAATACATACTTAAAGTAGCCTTCATCTATCAAGTTCTACGCCAACCAAAATGTCTCCACATATATACATGTATAAATTTCCTGATGAAATTTATCTTAAGATATTTAGACACAACTGAATAATTTTTAGTTCCAAGTTAAAACCAGCTTGTCATGTAAACAATAATAAAAAACTATCCCTAATAATCACTGGTGCAAGTATATGTGCACAAAAAAGCTTCCTGTTTGATTTTTTTTTACTTTGGTGAAATTTTATTTATATAACAGATAAACAAGAAAAGGGATGACCATCGTGTATCCCACTCACCACCATTCACCAACATAAATACTGTCAACGCTATAACATAAAAATGGGACAAATTCTTTATATAATACAAACACAACATGACGATGATTGTTATAACAATTACTAACAATGCAGCATTGACTTTTTTGTCTCTTCTTCTTTTTCTCCTCCCCGTTTTTTTGCAAGACAAATCATTATACAGAAATAGATGAAATAATTTGATAAATAACTAACTTTACAGCGATTCATTTGACGTGACACTAAAAAATGACTAAAATAACTGAAAGGTGTTTATGTGCGTTTAATACATCATTGTACTTGGCATCACACTAGAATTCCTTTCAAATTCTAAACAAAAGAACAAATGATTCTTCGTATATGTAAGTATATACTTGAAATCGTTTGTAACAAAACTTATGAATAAACCCTTCCAGTCTGTCAATTTTTCTTTACATAAATCAATCAATGATGTAAATGATTCACTTACACCTATCTGAGTATTCAAACATGCACATACATAGCCTCCAGTATGTAAGTGTTTTTAGAGTAGTAGTTGCTTGAAGTAGTAGAAGTAGTCAAAAGAGGAGATGTTCGCAAATGGCTTTTCGTACGATCAAAAGATTTTAGATAAATTATTCGTAGGAATTTGAAGATTGTTGCACAAACTGATATTCTAAATTTGAACGAAATAACTATCCAGTGTTTCCTAGTCTTTAATGATTGTCTCTAACTAAGATCAGTCCGTAGTGTAAACTATAAAGCATAATAATTGTCATAAAACATATTAATTGGAGAATCATTAAAAAGACAAGAAATTTTTAGGCAGTTATTACGATCTGAGTTTAGCACTCTAAGTAGTAGTGGACACACAGTAAAATTTATCTAGAATCAAACTACCTATCATTTAAATCTTAATCACTCTGTGGTGTATGCTACTTATGCAGACAGACATAAGTATCATGTAACACCAATCGAAAGTGGAAATTTAGACAGCAGTAGGTTGGGAAGATCGAATAGAAGAGAACTGGAACAGAGAGTAATTGGTATGGAAATGGAGGAACAATAAAATCTGAGACAATTAATTGACGTTTTGCAAATGAAGGATTAAACATATGGTTTCCACATTTTACTAAATAACTCTGTAATTATGTTTTAAAATACATTTAATTGTCCCCATCTGTTTTCGTTCTTCACAACTATACGATATACCACAATCCTCAACGAATGTCATCAGTCAATTATTGCCTTTTTGAAATCATACATTAAATACATCATATGGATATCTTCCTTGAATTGTCGTTTACATACTTCATCATTCTTCCAATCTTATTGTTATTCCGATTACTACTCGTTTTCCTTCCTCTTCTCTTCATCTCAATTTTCTGCTGGTAAGCATTTTAATTCCAGGTCCTGCTAAATACTACTTATGTCTGTGAGCATACATAGTGCTCACCACAGTACCAGCAGAACATTTGTTTTCATGAAATTCTGCAACGCTTTGCTATAACGAAGTAAATATTGACAAAGTTGTAACGATTGGAACTATCTTACGACGAATTACTGTTAAACTCTTCGATTATTGTATTCTTATATTCTTCTGTTTGTAAACTTTTCCTAGTGCATAAACCATAGTTCTATGTTTTGCCTTCATCAAGTTGCTCCGAAGTTATTCAGGATCTAGTGTACAATTCTTCTTCACTTATCATGTAGTCACATATGCGTTGTATTTTCTTACTTATCCATCTTTTCAACCAGGTAGTTGATCTAATTTATCATATGAGCTTGAGTTATAGACACAACCATACAACATAGACTACCTTCCTGTTGTGTTCAACACCTATTCTGTCTATCGGGTAAGCGAACGTGAAAAACCGCATTCTGGACCAGTAGGCATTAAGCATTGACCTCAGTCGCTATCCCATTCTCACTAAGTCACTGGCCTAAGGAAGATCACTAAGTTATTGGGGGGAATAAATTCCTATGAAGACGATTGAGGCCAACCAATTAATAATAGTACTAAATCGTGCAAACGCTCTCAGAATTACCGCTTGACCACATAAGTCACAAAACACAGTACCATAACATGTTCTTCTTTCCCTTTAAATCTGATTTCAAGAACTAAAATAGGTTACATAACAAGTGACGTCGTCACCTAACTTACAACTCGGTGTTGTTTTTCCTCTCTACTTTGAGTGATCAACGTACAAAGATACTGCCAGAAATATCCAACACTTCAAGTTTCAAAAAGTTATGGATTGTATCTATATTCATTGATTTCAACAGTATTCAATATTTACGTTTGTCACAGTCTAATTAGCTTACCAGTAACGCCTTCAACAAAAAAGCTAATTATTCTATGTTAAAGTTTCTTAGCAGGTGTAGAACTTCATTGGAATTGTAGATAGCCTTTGCTAATAATTGTCAATAAGTATAAGAACTAGATTGAGTGTCCTTGGAACTCTCTTCAATCATTTGACATTGAACAGCAGATAGTAGGGATTTAAATTTGAACCATTTTCTCATTTTTCCTTAACACTGGCCAATAACTATTACAATAAAAAAATTAGCCTCAAAAAAATAACTGCAAAATGGAAACTTCACATTTTTACGCGAATACACCTTATTTCGTAAGTTAATGAAATAATCTATGAAACAGATTCAGTTGTCATGCTTTTGCTAGGCATTGCACATGGAATATTGAGAAGTGCTCTAATCAGATCATCAATGTAAACCCTGAGTTTGATTTCATGATGAAACATCGTTCTCCAATCCAACTAATTTGATGTTATGGTCGGAATTGAGAACACCTAAATTTCACCTAACACCACTTAATTTCTGACAAAAGCTGTGAATTAATGAGAAAGAAAAATCCATCTGGAAATTATCTAATTGTTTGTAAATTTTATGTATAATGATAGAGATCCATATAATGTTGGAAAGAACAAATATTTCCGAAGCACACAGAAAGAAACAAAATGAAACTTAGGATAACATCATAACTGTCATAATCTTTAGCTTTTTCGAAATAACTGAATAAAAAGATCAACATGGAAAAATACACAGAAAATGGATGATAAGGATATCACGGGAAAAGAAATAAATAGATGAGGAGCGAGTTGATGTTCAAAATTAAAGAAAAGAAAGGATAGATATGAAGTCATTGTCATTGCTTTTGAACCATACTGTACAAAACCCATAACTAGAGATAAATTGAGAATATCAAGAACAGAACCCAGATCACTTCACAGAGTTCGGATCAACAGTTTCAAAGATGATGTGAACAGAGATATAAAGAAGCCATAACAAACAACGGAAACTATTTTTGGGGACATTATTTCACTTAATTCTAAGCTTGTAATATATTAACATTTAGTTTTGCCCCTGGTTTATTCTATAAACCATAGGCTTTCGTTTGATGTATGATTTACTTTCAATGGTCTAGCTTCAACTGACTCATGATCTTAACCATTGAAATTACTACAATCTCCACCAAAACCCATCTGGTATGATTTACTGTTGTACCCTTCTCTTTTCCAAAGCTATTGTAATTTAAACGTAACCTTTGGTACTCTATTTTTCTACCCTAATGCCCAGCTTGGACATGATTGTAATTTCCTGATTGTTTTTGCGTTGTGGTTATGTTAGTCATCGATACATTCATGTATCTTTTTACACTCATCTGAAGTGGACATCAGAAATAAATCGAATAGTGTTCCAGCTGACTCGTCTTCTCTCTCGCTTGTCAACCAATCAGGCGATATAACAGTTTTCATATCTCTACCTAAGTTTATTAGTCTCGCGATCCGAACTCACGCATTTCTAGCCTCAAGGTTAAACCGGTTAGCCTATAGTGTCAAGGTCTTAACCTAGATCGAGACAAGTTCTCTACTGTATATGATTGGGTGTACCATACTAAGACAAAGATGATTCAGTCCTATATATAACAGAAAAGAAAAAACTTCGCTTACTTTAAACTGTGGTACATGATCATTTTCATCACATATAATAATTGTTATCTGATGTGTATCCGGTACCTCAGCCGGTGATGTCATAACTGATACAGTTAAATTAAATGTACACATTGGATTATATAGAGATTTAGTATCATGCATTTTGGCAGAACACAAATTAGGATAATAAATTGATTGTGTCGGTAATTCATGTATATGGTTTCTAGATGTTGTATGTGGAAGATAATTATGCTGATAATCCATAAAGTTGGTATGTCCAGGCGATCCAGTATTAGAAGAAATGGTTGATGTTACAGTCACTGTTGTTGTAGATCCTTCGAGTGGACAACATAATCTAGACTGTAGACATAATTTATCGCGGTCTATAAAACGTGATGTTATCAACTGATGATTTTCATTAATATCAAAATATTCACGTCCTTTAGATGATTGCAATAATGATAATTTATAACCTGACTGAATATAATTTAATAGGAAATCTTTAGATACAATTTCATTTTCACGTGTATTATCTCTTAATACAATAGGATTAAATGTAACAATGTAATTGATGAAAAATATTACATGTATGAAGCATATTGTAGAAGATAATTTTATGATACAATTATGATTGGGTTTAGCTAACAGTGAAAACATGATTTTTTTAAATTTTTTTTCTAAATTCTACTGTCCACTTCAATTCATCTGTACAATTTGATTGATTGGTATATCAAAAGGAAGGAGTAGAGCTGATCACACTGAATCTAAATGATCATAAAAGGTGCGCTTTTTGAAGGAAACAGAAAAAAAAAGAGGAAGAAACAGTCATCATCATTATTTAGTTCAAATCTATTTAAAAGTTTTGGGTAATAAACTTTGTCTTAAACAATATCAATAGGTCGCCGCTACATTTGGCTACCAGTTTTTCTTTCTGTAAACTCCGTATTTGTTATAGGTGAATAAGGCAAACATGGCACTAGACCTGGAAGCTATTGAGTTTTTAGTTAAATCAAATTTGTTAAGTGAACAGAAGTCTTTCTATTAACATCCACTAGTCTAAACACTGAAACGAGTTCCGTAAATCAACTTAACAACTAATAGTTAGTTGATCTGCTGATCTTTAATGTTATGTTATTTGATGAAAACTATGTCTGACAGTAAAAACATTAAGACTTCATTTCTTTCGAGCTCGTTTTTGGAAGATGTTGATACTGTCCGTTTCCCTTAAAATTTACTTTTATAATAATTTCGAAAGGAAATTACGTTAATCAAACTTATTAGAAGTGATCATTCGTATTCGATAGGGATTTAAGGTTCAAAGTATTTAAAACCATGTTGTATTTCATATCTGTTTGAACCACTGACCAAAGTTGAACAAGATTGGATGCGATCCACATAAATTGAAAGTCGCCAATGAGTAACATCAATAATATAAATGAAAATAGTGTAGGTCAGTAATAAGAACGATTATCATTTAACTTAATAATTAATGAGGAAAGTCCATGAAACCCATTTATCTAGCACTGAATAACTTCTTAAAAATTATTTTCCCAATCATTCCATACTATTAAGTCATACACTTGATGTCACATTTCGTTTTTATAAAAACAACGTAAAAATTAAACTAACGCTAGCCTTGTTAGTATGATTGTAAAATTGAGAAAAAAAGCAATATCTGTTTTGTTCACACAGTTTATTTTACCAAAGCAAAAACGAAGAATGTGAATACAAAAGTAAGAAGCTTCGCTTTTAATGAATTCTTGCATTGTTTATTTGAACTTTTCCATTGATGTTTAGGACTGTAATTGATCAGTCCTGTGTGGACTGCCTCAATATTCCCTTTAAGTCATAAGCATTATAAGCAAAGATGGATTGTGGCTAGCATTGGAATCCAGGACACGCGTTTCATCCTACTTAAGACTCGTCAGCTGGATGTACCTGCATCCCAGAGTTCATGTCCACTTAGGAACTCGAATCCAGTACCGTTCACTTCAAACAACATCGCGTTATCCACGTAGCCACTGAGTCCAGATAGACACAAGCTTGTGCAGTGGAGTGAAGTCTCAATTCATTTTTGTATTGTTTGTTTGAATCTTCCTATTGATGTTTAGGACTGCGATCGATCAGTGGATAACGTGATGGCGTTTGAAGCGAATGGTACTGGGTTCGAATCCTTGAGTGAACACCAACTCTGAGATGAAGAAACATCCACCTTACCAGTCCTAATTAAGACTAAACGCGCGTTCTGGATTCCACGACAAGTCACCTTCCATCTCTGCTTATAAAGCTTAGTTTTTCATGAATAGGCAAAACAAATTTTATATTATCTAATCAACTATAAACCCAACTGAATTAAACAGAATTCTTATCGTCCTGTTTTTTTTTCAATTGTTGTTAATGATATAGTCATTGTTTTCGATCACTTCATCGTCACCATCGTCAATGTTTTCCTATCTTCTCATTTGAATTTTAATATCTACTTAATTGATGGACCTTCGAATTTTTCAATATTGAAAATAGAGAACAAATACATCTTAACGTATACAAATCAACAATTTATTTAATGTACAGCACACTACACTACAAAATATTGAGGTGAATTATCCATCATTCATCGTCAACCTATTGAAAAAGAAAATATATCTGGATTTATTGTTAACTTTTCTCCATATATTTGTACTTGTTTGATATGAGACATGATAAAACAAGAGAAAAGAGTAATTTTGACAGTTGTCAGAACAAGGAAAATCAATTACATAGTAATATGAACAATTTAAATTCAATACTCCAAATACAAATTAATGATTGAATAATGGACCACATGACTTATGCTGTCTAAATTGATAATTTTTCAACTCAAACGAATTTTGAGTGATCAATCAAAAAGATATTAGCTAAGCGATCTTTGATTCGTTCAGATATAAATAACCGAATAAAACAACACCAAATCCTAACCACTGAATGTTATTTAATGAGTTTTCTATCTCTAAACAAACACCTTTTGTTTGAATAACAATCTACTACATGTTGAGAAATTCACTTCAATGGAATAAAATTCGCAATTTTTCTGAGATAATATGATTGTGAATAAAGAGAATTACTCAATTCCAACAGTAGATATCACGGATAGGTTGTTCGGTGTAGTAAAGTTCAAAAAAATAAAAACTCCGACCTACTGGTTGAATGTTAAGTAGTTTGTAATGAGATTTGAAAATTACTACGCTGACTTGTAAAATGTCAACATTTTCAATCTTCGAAAAAATACGTAACAAAAATGAAATACATTCCTAGAGCTATCTGGTCTCTTAAGGTCTATTTTGATGGAAATGATATGTTTAGTAAAAATGTGTATAATACAAACAAGGAATTTGCAAACAATTTACAACTCTTAAAACAGACAATCTGTACGTGTCAAAAATTAGAAACTATTACTCTATTGCACAAGGCGACAAATGACATGATAAAGATCTTATAATAAATCTAGTGTTTGAAGTCATTACACCTTAATACAAAAATTATTAAGAAAAACAACAAAAGAATACCAAAATGTAAAAGGTGGCAACCAGTAAAAAGGGATACAAATACTGAGTTAACATTTGTTCACGATTAGGAAAAACGTATGATAATGCGATCAGTTGTGAGCTGTATTTTATAACAAGCATTAAAATATGAGAGTTTACAGTCAAGTTAATTGGCTTCACTTCTATTTTATTTTTAACTTACTATAAATATTGTAAAATGAATAATTGCTTTATACGCCTAAAGTGATTAAAGCATGAGTTAATTTCTTGACTTCACATTTCATTTACTTTAACAGTCATGGCTCAGAGATGAATTAACATTTAGCCAATTGCTAAGCAATTAGATTTAACCAGTGACATAACTGTAACATAGCTTGGCTGAGCCCTATTTGCTTTTCTTGCACGCATCTGCAGTCCGTTACCTATTGAAAATGAAACCTGGACCAGTGGAGTTCAACCGTGTTGGGTATGAGGCAGTTACCCACCGAAGACAATCGAAGATAATCACGCAACATCATGGACTGATTAGATCTATTCATTAGCACCGTTGGATACCTGCTTAGTACTTAAGAGGTTAGGTGTCCTCACGCAAGACTGAAGGTTCTGATTTCGAGTCCCGCGTGAGGGATTGTGAATGCGCATTGCTGAGTAGTCTCATACTAGGACGAAATAGTTGCTAAATGCTTTCAAGTTTCCAATGGTGGTCTAACATTTATGCGTTCATTATTTCAATGAAGAAAATACTTAAACGTAGTCCAACTAATTTCATTATTAGTAGCACTTTCAGTCACTGTAAAATGTATAAATGTATATTTCTAAACTACTTAAACAGTAATTAACAATGTCACAGTTAAGCGAGTGCGTCTACATAAACACAAATACGAAATAAAATTAATAAATCTTAGTAAAAATAAACCCATAAACTAAACCATCTCCGTTTTACAATTGTAAACTGTCAAAATTAAATTTCTACATAAATTATACATAAACTTATTTGACCTGAAAAACAGTAAAAGTCGAATTTGTCAAAGTCATACTCCAAGTTGTACATATGAATCGGTGTGTATGTGTTCAACTGTTGTCAACATTATCAACACAGAAAAACATACGCACATACTTGCCGCTAGTTTCAATCAAAATATACGAACACACAGAAACTTCCTGTAACATGAAAAACATTCAGATAGATATTTTATTCAGCTTTATCAATTAAATTAATCTACACCATGCCAATATGAAAGTAAATATCTGCGAAAATTTTGATGTAGACATTGTCTACCTTAATGTTAAATGATACAAAGGAAATGATGACGACAAATGAGAACTGGAGGAAACTTTTAGGTCATAAACATGTCTACAAAAAATATTTGTTTCCAATCTCAGTGTAATTCTTCTCAATAGTCCCTTCCCTTTCTAGAATATTTCCAAATAAACACATAAAAATCAATGAACAAAGTTCTTACTATAACTTGTAGTATACAGCGAATGGAGGTAAAAATACTAAGTTGTGAGAAAGGAAAAAATGAGTAAGAAATCAATCTATTTAATTCAGTTATTTCACTCATAGACTATATTATGGATCGACGTTAGTTAAATAACCATTGAAAAGTAGAAAGTTGTGGACAGCTGTTTCACTGAATGCTTCCTAGTTCTCAATGGCTAACTCAACAGAGGTTTGTGATTTACTCCATAAAATTCAACAATCTTTACAAACGACTTACAGTATTTCATTTATATTATTTAATATTATTAATAAACTTACGGTGAATATTGAGAGTTGAATAATCTTCATATAACTAATTAGCCAAATTAGTTTAGAATTGATTGTTTAAATTTGCTGACTAGTTTCTCATATCCGTTTCTATCTACTCTATACAAGAAATCTTTTGAGATTATAAGTAGAATTTGATCACTGCTTCACACTACGACTACTTCATACAATACAACTTTTCGTATTTCCGTGATTTCCGAAATTTCCCGTAGATCTCTAAAAATCAATTAAAATATGCATCATAATTGATTTCCTTTGATAGTTAAAGAAATTAGGTGGACGGGAAACTATCTATTTGATAGATGTTATTAACTATGATTTGTCTTAGGGTTCGAGGAAATTGATGCTTTCTGAAATTCTCAAAC